TATCTAATATAATATTTTAAAAGTGGTATAATGCCGAGGTTTTTTAGAGTAGATAAAAGGATAAAGCTTTTTCTTATAATTGAAGCTTATTTTATATTCTTTTGTAAAGTTAATAAGAATGTAAAAGAGATTAAAAATTGTTTTTGGTTTGGGAGGAAAATTAGAAATCAATATATTGAAAGTTGATGATAAAAGTTTTAAGGATTATTATTATATTAATAGAAAATATATTTCTTTATTTCTCATTTTATTTTATAAGAATAATTGAAATTTTTTCTTAATTCATTATATTTAATCTATTTTTTTTTTCATTTTTTTTTTTTTCATTTAGTATATAATCAATTGCTAATATTATTTACAATTATTTTAAAGAATTAATAAAGAATAAACAATTTCATAAAGATAAATATAAAAATTAGATTGTTATTCTTATTATTTATATTAAATAAATAAAAGAAAAAATAGGTGAATATATAAATCTTTGGAATTGTTATATAATTCAAAAGAATAAAACATAACCTTTTATATTATATTAATATTTTGAAAAGGAATATATAGATAAGGGAAAAGTAATATTATTTAAGTTTTACAAGTAGCTTTTAAAAGATTACAAAATTTAAAGTATATTTCCTATTATATTATTAATTATATATTTATTAATTTCATAGATGTTAATGAATATTTTCTCTTAGCTATTATTAAATTCTATGAAGATTTTATTAAAAGTATTAGATATAATTTAAAAATTATAAAATTAAATAATAAAACAAAGTAGGAAGAATTTATATATATATTAGTATATTACTCTTTATGTAAATATCTTTAAAGATATATTGATTCTAATTAAGAATTAATTTTATATAAATCTTTAGTATTTATAGATAAATATAATGAAATTGTTGAGAGAGAAGGAGTTATAAATAATATAATTAATAATAATTATATATTTGTATAAGTTAAAAAACAATACGAAAAAGAGATTATTTTAAATGAGAATATGAATCACCTCATTAAAATTGAATCTAAAATTGAGATCAATAATAGTAAAGTAGTCAATCAAGGTTAGGCTATTTAAATATCAAAGATCTAATTTATTTATATATTTCAGATCCCTAATTTCATTTTTGTTTATATAATCAAATATCTTATTTATTTTTTGTATATTTATAATAAGTTAATAAATAAATAAGAATCCTAAATGAACACCTTATTATTCTATTACAAAGAAAAAACATTTTAAATTTATTCATTTCTATATTTATTATAATATTAACAATTCTAAAGTTGAGAATAAGGTAATATTAATCTTTTTTAGCTTTTTCATATTAGAATTTCTTCCTATTTCCCCCAAAAATTGTATAAAAAACAAAAACAATCAATAAGGAATTATCTTATTATTAAAATACTTAACAAATACATTTCAAAATAATATATAATTAAATCAAAAGATTATCGAATATATAAATTAATAAAAGAGAAAGAAAATAATAAAAAAGAAAAGACTATATATTAAAAATAATTCTAAATATTAATTAAATAAAGAAAACAGGCTTAAAATATAAAGATAAAAAAAGCATTCTTTAAATTATTAGCTTTAAATTTGTTATTAATATATCTTGAATTAAAATAATATACTTTTATTTCAATTTGAGTATTATAGAAAATAATCTCAAAATACTTTTAAAATATATATTAATTAATTTGTTATATCTTTTTATTCTTTTTACTATTCTTTATTATTCTTTGATTAAATAATAGGGTTAAATTATATAAAAACTAATATAATATATAGGTAAATTTGTATCAATATTTAACAATTGTTTATTTAATAATCTATATATTTAATTATAAAATGAGGTGTTCCTATTACTTATATAAAATATATATTAAGTACAATCTCAAGGACCTAATAAATAACAATATTTTATTAATAATTCTAAAAAGATTCAATTCGGTAGTTTATCGATAATTCTAATTAAATGTAAAGTACTTGCATATAACACTTTCGAAAATATTAATATATTATATAAATTCTTAAAAAATGAAAAGATTTTTAAGAAAAAAGAGAACTTTTATTTTATATTTCTTTTAATAAAGCAGGATATTATAGATTATAGCTTATAGAAAATGAATAAAAGCTCTTATACAATTAAACAATCTATTAGTCCAGATCTTTTAATCAAATTCGAATCAGATAGTCTAAAAAGATTAATATTACAACCTGAGTATTTATCTAATCTTTTAATCAAAAGATAATTTGTTAATAATTACAAAATCAAAATTAAATCGATAGAAAAACATTCAAATAAAAGGATTAAAATAATCTCTTTAGAGGGGGGTGTACCTAAAGTATATAATATTTAAGTAATTAAAGATTTATTTAAGCCTATATCTAAATCTACATCTAATATATTTAATATTAACATTTCAAAAAGTGTATTTTCAAATCTATCAACCTTATTAATGAATTATATATTATTATTTGATCAATTAAATTTATTAATATAAAAGAAGAGTATATAAACTATTAATACTTTATTTATTAATAATAAAATCTTCTTTTTTAATAAAATCAAACTCTTTCAATTATTTTCTTAAAATAATTTAATTAATATTGTAAACATTAATTCAATATTCTAAATATTATAAAAGATTAAATCAAAAAACAACTTATTTAGATATAAATTCTATAAAGATTTAATTAATAAAAAAGTTAATAAGGAAAGATAAATGTAAATAGAATAAGATTTTGAAGCTCTATTTTTTTATTAATTGAAAGCTATTTATTATAACTCTTTTATTTTCCCTTTTATATAATTATTATTCTATATATATATATAATTTTTAAGATCAAAATCTATTGTTTATTAAATAAATATAAAGAAAAAGATTTATATTCTATACTTTTTTATTTATATCGATTATAATCTAATTTAAAGAATAGATTTTTGTTTTTCCTATTAAATATATATAATAAATATATAAATGAAATATAAATATATAAAAATTAAAATAGAAATTATTAATATTATAAATAAAAGCTGGGTTATAAGTATATAATATTTATTTCTATTTTCAATATATTATATTATCTTTTAATTTCTATTTCAATTATTTATCTTTTTTATTTATTAATAGGTTGATATAATTAAGAATAAGTTGTATATCTTTTAGAGTATATTTATATATTCATTTTAAATATTTCAAGTAATACTATGAATTCTTTAGGATTTGTATTACGAATAGTGTATACTCTGCTTTTATTCTATCTCTTGTAATTTGTATATACACCTTGAAACTATCTTTTTAGCTTTACATAATCTATAAAAATATCTTCCTCTTTTATATACTTTTAATAAAACTATTGTTTTATAGTATCTTTGAAAAAGAGAGATTAATAAATAATAAATAAGAGCTTTCAAGTTATATATATATTAAGATTAAATAATTAAAGCTTTAATAATATGTATATTATATGAGGAATTATTTAAAGCGTTATTATATCGAAGTTGAATCTTATATAGAATCTTCTTTTTAAAAAGCTTTAGATAATCTACATATATAGAATAATACTTTAACTAATAAAATATTAGTAAATACTAAATACAAGGTATATAAAGAGAGATATACAAATTGAAAAGAATAATTAATATATCGATTTCTATTGATTTCTAATAGTTTAAAGAATATAGACTTTAATAAGTTATTTGAATTTCTTAAATCTGATATATTAAAAGTTGATAAGGAGGGAGGAGGATTATTAACTATAGCAAAATCAGATGTCATTTTATTATAACAATTATACAACTTAATATTATGAATTTTAAATTAATTAAAAAAGAATTAATTAAAGAATTAATAGATTTAATTGTTTGTTTATATTAAATATATTTGTTTATTATAAGATTATATATACTAAAATAATCATATAAGCTTTATATAATTAATAAAAAGCAATATCTACTATCAAAATAAGTATTATAATTTAATAATATTATTATCGGTATTATATTATTCGAAAAATTGAAGATATACTATGTATAATTTCTATAGTAATATATAATAAGATTATGTTCTATATAGTACAAATATTTTTTTCAAGTTTTCTATAACTATATTATACAAATTTTAGAATATTTTTTGCTTCAGGCAGAAATCTATTTTTGAGGTTTTGGCCATATCGACCAAATCGGCCTCGGTAAATTAACACAAAATTGACGTCCTGTTTCCTTCGTGTCGTTGAAAGAAACCGTTCAAATTTTGAGATGTGCAACAAAACAATGTTGTGTTGCAATTCACGTGATATTTGGAGCTCGGACCATCTTGTCATATCTGCTCTGCGCAGTCGAGCCAGTGAACATTTTATACATTCAACCGAGCCGATATGGATTCACTTCGAAGCTTCTGAGTGGACGGATATTGTAGTATGTATATGCATGCTACGCCTACGTTGTGATCTGGATCTACAATAGCAGCTGTATATAGGGTTTCCTTTTCAATATATTGATGGACTAGTTGTGTCTCCGCCTCCCAACCGATTCCATTTATCCTTCAACGCGCCATGGGATTTCGGCATCGTGAAACTTCCACTCAAGCTGGAAGTCAAGGTACGCGCCCCATCTTTGATACGAAGAACGCTTGGCAACTTGCTATGCGTGTAAGTGAACCTCTCATTGAAACATTTTCGCTAATACATCATACTCTGTACGATATGTCATGTCATTCTGAATTATATCATGTGATTTCACTTCATACCATACGAATTCCATCTCACAGATTATACTGTGAAACTGCACCACTTTTATATCATGATGGACATATTTCATTTCGCCTAGTGGCTTGTCTCTCCGTACTCGCTTCTCATGCCTACTTAGCTCAATCTCCACTACCTTTCTATCCTTCCCTAGCTTTCCAACCAAGCGATCATCATCTCGATCATAGTAAAGATTCCACATGCCAGTTTCTTCGCCGTTTGCGTCTTCTTTGACAGCAAAAAATCCTTACCATTTTTCGAGAGTCAACCTTCTATCTTGGCTAGTGCAATCGCATGGACCTGTGATATTAGGTTGAGCATCCAACCGGACTCCATACTTGACTTCGTAAGTTTCTCCATCAACAAATCCATTCAGTTTCAGAATAGTTTACTTTGGGATCAATGATTCAAACACTAACCTTGGAATCTCTGAGAACAATCTGCCTATGACCATCTTCAAGGCCAAGCGGTGATGCTTCAACACAACTTGTAATCAAACTGTATCTCTGTACACGATGTTCCTCCTTGCGATCTTTGGTTTGGCCTTGTCTAATTGAACCATTCGTGGCGAGTAGTGCTGGTGCTGTCACCAGTGCAATGAGTAGCGAGGTCATGATTATCTCTGTCTGTTGAAACTGGCTTCGAGGTTCGAATTGAATTAAGACAACGATTGAAAAAGAGAGCCTGAAAAGAAAAATTGCTTTAAAGTGTTGGTGAATTTGATTTTCAGACCAATATTCTCGACGTGAGAACTTATCATCAGTTGAAGTCCTTCTACAGCATTGATTTGTACATTTTCATCCTAGTACCATTCATCATTCGATTTGGAAATAACCAGCTAACCATACCCCATTAGTTGCCGTGCCAAGCATAGAGTTTCCCAGTATTCGTAGAAAACGAACCTTTACGGCTATCTGCATGCATTACATCAAGGCGCGAGTTTCGCTGATTTGACACGTTCAGTGCCTTGAATCGTTTCGAATGTGGATCTGCCAAATTCGGTCCTGCGAGTGTATAGATATGAGGGGTGATCTATAATGTTGACTTATGAACCGCCCAATTAACAGCGCCAACATCAATTCTCTCCAATGCCATCTAAATTCGGCAAATTAGTATCTAAACCTTTGAAATCACCTCCTGCAACTAATTTCCATAGAACTCCATTTCCTACCCTAACATGTCTACCACCAAGTATGTTCAACCCCTCTTCTCTCAGCACACGAGACTAACAAAAACCAGCACAAAATCACCCGACAGAACAGCATTCAACCATACCGCCTATCCCCCGCTTCTCTACCATTGAACCAAACAACGGACGAAGAGCCACAACCAGAATCAACACATACTCATTACCCAAACCTCCCACCTCAGAAGGTCTTCATGAACCAGCAAGTAGGTATCTATCACCCTATGATCCAATACACAGACACACACACACACAAACACATCTCCCCAATAGAAATCTAGCACCCCCACAGGAAATTTACTCGAAAGCGCCACAGAAGCATATATATGGTAGTTTAATACCCGCAGCTATAATAGTCTGGTCGGTATAAAACTTGATCTAGAAGCTGAAGATCATCTGACGGCGCGGATAAGTGGGGATATTGTTATTGGATTTTACTAATATCAAATATCAAACATCGAATATCAAACATCAAACCTCGAAATGTAAATAGAAGAACGATATTTTGGAGTTCTGTATTAGGGAGGATGGGAATTTTCAAAAGATGGAATGAGATTTTCTTGATGTTTTGGTTGAAGGATATGTTTTTGGTTTTAAATAACGTGAGACTGAAGACTATTTATTCTCTTATATCTTTGATTTTGTACTCGTACAGGTTAGAGATAGGGTTAGAGATAGAAGAAAATAACTATAATCACCATATTCAAAACATCTTCCCAGATGCCCAGCGTCTAGCCTCTGAATCCCACTTCGTCATTAGAACTCTCAATTCTCAACTTCCCTACTCCCGATCAAGAAACAACAAAAACTCTACATCTCAACTAAATCTGCGCAAAATACAAAGTATCACATCATATCATGAACATCTCCATCCCCATCCTCCCAGATCCCATCTCCCAATACATAATAAAATCCACCATCTCAATCTCCTATCAAACCTCAAAGAGGAAGAAACCACACGCACTACTGTACTACCTACCAGAAACCATCCCCATCGCGGGTATACTTACCAACTATCCCAACCTTAAACAACTTGAACTACTCGCATATATATATATATATATACACAACATTGTAGATAAATCTCTGCTTATTCATACAGCTATAAGTAATACGGGAGCATGCATACCAATCATCATCATCATCAGCGGCAGCAGTCCTCTCACCAGTCCATTCCAGTGCTGGGATGACATGTCACATCTCTGTCTAGTAGCTATAACTCTAACTACACCCAAGTTTGGAAGTTTACAAGTACAGAATCTCACGAGCAATGAAAGTGTTCTTTATGGAGTTATCTACATGAGAATATTCATAGAAATCGGTGGATATCGAGTAAGTATATGAGAAGATGCACTCACTTTATGATCGAAGCCCGAAAGTATGTCAGCTCTTTTTTTGGTTTTCTGCTCAAGCAATCTTTATGTGATATTCTGGATACAATTTATTTGATTCTAAATCTTGGATATATACATACATACTCATATATATATATATATATATATGTATCCATCCATATCTCATCTCAAGAATCACCCCTAGGCTGCGCAACGGGTACCCGCGGGGCGGATAATGGCCTCGACAGATAATCCGCGGATAATCCGTCTGTGGAGCGGATAATTCAGAATCTGGACGGGTAACCCGTGGGGCGGGTACAAATTATCCGCGGATATCCACCTACCTATATATTGTATAACTATTCATAATCTTTCATAATATTAGTATAATTTTATGATTAGTATAAAAATTAGTATAAATTTAAGCTTGTATCACTTTTGGGCTGGAAAATAATCTGGGAATAGCTTCATATTTTAAGCGAATCTCCGCTTTTTTCGGAGAATCTATATATCTATGGATTATTTACAGATGATCTGCAAATTATCCGTATACCTGTAGATAATCCGCAGATAATCCGTCTACTTATATACCCGCAGATTATTTATAGATAATCCATAGGTTACCTGTACAAAGCGGGTAATTTTAAAGCCTCGACAGATAATCCGCGGAGCGGGTAGAACCTCTGACGGATAACCCGCGGAGCGGATTATCCGCAGATAATCCACAGGTACAGATAATTTGTGCGCAGCCTAATCACCTCCTATCTCCTACCTCCCCATCACCTCACGCATCACATATCCCTATCACACCACATCATCCATCACCAAGTCCTCCCCTCTTCCCCCTGGAATAAATCCACATTTCTATTTCTTCTCATCCTCATCCAGAATCCAGAATCCATCCCCACCCCCATCCATCTAATCTCCAACCCCATTCCTCCTAAAGATATCCCCGCCTGTCTTGAAACACCTCATCAAACCAAACCAAACCAAGGAATTCTCAAATTTAATACAACATAACATCTCAACCCCAATCATGCATGCTCGAAGATAGGATAATGATCCCGTCCGCCAAGTAAGTAAGTAAAATAAGATAAGCATCCCATCAACCCCCGACCAAAAATCCAAAAAAAAAGCAAACATGCTGCTAGCCAACTCTCGTAAAGAAAAGCCAAACCCACCCCCCAAATACAAGTACACAACATCCCATCCACAACCAAATACTCAACAAGAACCCTCTAATTCGTATTCGTTTTCGAGTCCTTACTTCATTGAGCCAGACCCCCAACCCCTTGCTCATCTTACATTGTATCGAGATCCGAATACGCACCCCCTGCCCCATCACGTGTTTATTGTTGCTCGATGGTTAACACGTCTTGTTTCGTCCTCTTGCTTTGCTTTTTGCTTTGATATTCTCAGTTCAAACTATCCAGTTTCTTCTTTCTCCTCTACACCAGCAACCCAACCCCTCAAAACGTCCATCTACCCACTACAAACCCCCCCAATATGTCCGCGCCCACCATCCTCGAACCCCAAGATCCCACTCGAGACGCCGCCTTCAAGCAAGCTCTCCACGGTCAAACCGGGCAAACCGACCGTTCATTCCTAAACCCAATCTACAAAGACAAACACACGCTAAAACTAGCCGTAAATGAATATTGCAAGCATTGGGATAACAAAGTTGCCGAGGATGAAACTGCACTGGATCGCGATGCAAGACGCAAGGATTATGCGACGCTGACTCGGCATTACTATGATCTCGCGACTGATCTGTATGAATATGGATGGTGAGAATCACCCCTCCTTCCTGCACCATGATACATCACAAGAAAATCCCACCATCAAATCAGCACTAACCAACCACCTCTCCCTCCCTCCAGGTCCCAAAGTTTCCACTCCTGCCGCTTCACTCCAGGGGAGCCCCTAAAACAAGCCCGCGCCCGACACGAACACTATCTCGCTCTAAAAATGGGTCTCCAACCCAACCAACTCATTCTCGACGTCGGGTGCGGGGTCGGGGGGACCGCGCAGGAAATCGCCAAATTCACCGGCTGCAACATCGTAGGCTTGAATAATAATGATTACCAAATCGAGTGAGTTTCACAAAGGGGGGTTTCATGCAAATGAGTTATCCAGATACTAGTTTCGATGGCGTTTATGCGATTGAAGCTACCGTGCACGCCCCCAGCTTGGAAGGTGTGTATAGCGAGATCTTTCGAGGTTTGAAGCCCGGGGTGTGTGTTCGGAGTGTATGAGTGGCTTATGACTGAGAAATATGATAATAATGATGCGCAGCACCGTGCGCTTCGATTGGATATCGAGCAAGGAAATGGGATTTAGGAATACGGAGAGGATATCCGTGGCGCTTCAAGCGATGCGAAAAGCTGGCTTTGTTTTAGAACTCCATATGAATGTTGCGGAGCTGGAGGACGGGGATGCGATTCCGTGATATTGGCCTCTGAGCGGTGAATTGAAATACGTGCAGAGTATTTGGGAACTACCCACTTTCTTTCGCATGTCACCGGTTGGTCGCACGGTTGTGCATAGCTTCATTGGAGCTTTGGAGACTATTGGTTGGGCTCCAAAGGCCACTCAGAAGACGGCTGATTCGCTGGCAACGGGAGCGGACTGTCTGGTTGCAGGAGCGAAGGGGAAACTATTCACACCGATGTATCTGATGGTTGGTCGGAAACCAGCAGTTTGATGAGAGGGGTGGCTTGAAGCGTGTAGCTAAATGTTCGAATAAGAAACTTATTAAACCTTCTACTGTGGCGTTCGCTAAAGTGATTTGTGTAACCCCTTATGTAACTGTCTCAAAGAGTCTAAGAGTAAATAGAACATGGGGTTTCGGTGATGATTTGCTCGTCCGGCTGACCACCACCAAGCTAACAATCGCAATACTCACCACAACACATCACCAACAACGGTAAGCAAATCATCCTCTCCTAGTCCTCCGAGCCCTTAAGTGCTAACTCAACAACCGCAAAACCCCCACCGCCCACGAATGAAAACAGCTAATTGCACTTGCTAAATTTCTTGGATTTCCTCAGGCGAGACTTCGATTGAAGGAAGGCCTCAAAATGCATTGCACACCAAGAAGTACCCAAGTAGTCGAGTATCCAAGTAATCGTCAACAAAAATCCTTCACATTAAATTGCTACCTATATATTCAAAACTTTCCGATATAGCAATTGTAAAGTTATCATCTCCCTCCACCCTATCCAATTAGGTAGGAAGATAGATGGATAGATCTAAGAGCTCATCAGATTTTCTGCCACAAAACACCCTTTTTTATGTTCATACATCTTTGAATTTCACGTTTATCACCGTGAATTCGCCCCGATTCCCTAGCACATCTATTCTCCTATTATCGCTGATTATAGGACCCGGTCTTAGGAATCTTGTCTGTCTCTTTTTACAAAATAACGCCCGCTCCCATATGCATGCCCAGATGCCTTACCAAATGCAATCCATTGACCTGGTCTACGCCGTCTTCATATACAAAGCATTGACCTTTAATACGCCTGTCCAAAACCGTTCCCATTGTTGAGAAACATCAGGGGGCCTTTCTCAAACTCATAAGCTAGTATCATCGGCTTTTAACCCTACAAAGAAATCCCTAGTCATCTCAAAACTGAGCCAACTACTCGCCATACTTGGGGCTACTTTGAGTAGATTGGGTACAATCCCTTTATACATGCCCATGATACCTTCTTGTGCGACGATTCTTCTGACAGCATCGAAAATTGATTTGTACTGGTATCCCATGCCAGACATTGTATTAATCTGGAAACGACGTCGAAGAACATCACTGAATAGTATTAGCTTCGATTTTTAAGAAATATTAATGGGCACCTTACAATGGATATGTGCATGTCTGTGCAACTGCGCCAGATATAGCACCGGCTGCTAATTTTCGCACTGCACTGGGATTCTGGTCTCCCTCTGGAGTGAAATGCTTTCTTACAAGCTCATAAGTCATGAAGTTCAAGCCAACCTTATTTTTTCGTTAGCAATGCAACCCAAAGAACCAATAGCAATTCAATCCACACTCACATATGGCGCAACGCCAGCCACAGTAGGTATGATTCCTCTATATAATGCAAGAACGCCTCCTTCTGTTTTGTACATCGTCTTCAACGTCGCAAACATGCCTGGTAGCTTCGTACCATGCTTTCCCAAAGCTGCAAATGATGCCGACTGAATAGATAATCTAGTGCGAACAATATCTAGAGGATATGTAAAGAATACGGATGTAATTCCGGCAGCTCCACCGCAAATGAGACGTCTAAAAGAACCCAGGTCTGTGCCAGGAGTGGTCTCGAAGAACTAAAGAGGCGTAGGAAATCAGTAATTGTTTTCTATGAAATGCGCTTATCGACATTAGAATTCCCGCAACGTCCAGTTGGTAGAGAAATGGCAGAAATTCGGAATGTCCTTGGATGTTTACCTTTTTATAGAAATTGTAACTTCCAAACTGAACAGCAGAATAGGGAACAATTCGAATACAGTTAGTTCCATTACCCCTCATCAGTCCGCGCCAACCTTCCTCTTTCCACATCTTCATAAGCCCCTTTCCTACCGACATCTTGTATTCTTCTCGCCCCACACTCTGTATTTGAAAAAGGATCTTTAGTCGTTCTAGAGGCGATACGACGGTTCTAGAAACCGCACCTGCCACTCCACCGGCGCAAAATGCTGCCACCACAGGCTGTGCGATCAGCTCTCTGAGTTGCAGAACTCTGGGGGTATATTTGGGTGGGAGAACATCATTCTTAGACTTATAGAAAGAACAAATTGTTAGCATATATACTAGATAATGAACAAGATTAAGAGAATAGGACTTACGGCGGACATTTCCAGAAAAAGTAGCTAAGCTATGCACCTCCAAGGCCTAAAAGCTCAACGCACACCTTGAACCCACCACGCATGCGAATTCGAAGGACAAGGTTTCGAGTATAAAGGGCGACTTTGATATTTGGTAGGATATATGAGAGCGTAGACTTTTGAATAGAAATAAGAAATCGATGATCAATTGCTGAATATATTGTACATGTACAATTAGGTAAAGATCTAGTAGGTGGTGAGGCTGGCTAGGTTTGGCTTTTTTAAACCGAGTTTGACTGGGAGAAGATCAAGTACGGGGGGGGGTACGAGATAGTGACACCGGAGGATAGGAGTAACAATATCTATCAATTTAATCTAGGGTTCGATGATATCGCAGATGAAAAAGGAGAATCAGCAGGAAAAATAGGGAGTAGGTATAGTAGTCAACAAAGTTATTCAAAATAGCAGATTGATTTTTTTCTTTTCTTTTTTTCTATAAAAGAAGAAGTCTAGGAGGATAGTTTAAAGGTCTATGTTGTTGTTGTTGTTGTATAGAGGAGGATTCGAGGAAGTGATATAGCTAGGTAGTACCCATAGTACCTAGGTAGTATAGATAGAACTTTTATTAACTTGACCAGTAATCATAAGCGGAAAAAACTTTTTACTCTACCAAGATCCAAGGTCGAGGTCATTTTGTGAAGGGTTTGTTGACGGAAAGTTCCATCTCTTCTTTAGTCATCTCGTACGAACAAGAGCAATTAATACGTTTGCTTTGTAAATATTCCTTATAACAATTCCTAAATCCTCATAGATAGTACGTCTACTTTGTAAATATTCCTTATAAATTCCGAAATCCTCATAAATAATGACTAGGTAGTTCTACAACTGCTAAAGATCTTCCATATTATGATGCACGGAGATGGAATTACCCCATCATTGAGAGCTTGAGAGCTACAACATGATGTCAACTTGCCTAGTACTTCCGTAGTTTCCCGCAAGAACGATCGATGCCAATATACGGAGTAGTATATGCATAGGTATTGTACGGAGTATTATTTCGTATGTATTCATCAACTCCTGGCACAAACTCAACTCGCTATTTGTTAGTAATTCAAGAGTACCGATGAGTACCTACGCAAGTCTAGTATCTATAATGTCCCGGTTTGTTAACACCACAAGCACTAGGTGGTTATGTGTCAAGAGTTCTGATAGTTCCATTCACAATGTACAGACTGTACTGCGTGTAATATTGTGATGATAGAAATTCCAAGGAGACCAGCTGGTATATCGACAGTGTACTACTATGTATGGATTCACTTATCTGCCTACTAGACATCAATGCCCATTTGCGATAATACTTCGTACATTTAATACAGACGGAGTACATCGAACCTTCAAATTGACACGAGACATCATTCCATCATTAATCTCGAACTCTTTCATTTCTCCCATATCACTCGACTCCTTTTCATCATCCCTGACGAAGCCGAGTACCCACGATGCACTCCGTCTTTCCGTCCAAGAGTACCGATACTTACTTCGGTACATTTTAACCCACCTCCAGCTTCCCGGGCGGTCACCATTGACAAAAAGACCCATTGGAATTTCATGTGTGCCTCAGGTTATAAGGCACCAAAAAGAGAAAATCCACGGAAAATTTTAAGCGAATTCACGCACTGGGCTCCATATTCTTAAAACTTGTTCGAAATTGTTTTTCGTTCCTGCTGGTTCATTCACGACTTCTCGACACCCCTCGACGACAAACCCCCCAAATCGCCAATCATGGGTAGGTAATCACAAATTCTATTCCAGCCATCGTGTGCAAGTGGAAATTGAGTGACTTTACGATGAATTGAGATTAAAAGTTGAAAGACTGGAATCTCAAATCGCACCGTAAAAGATCTCAATTCTCTGCGCAACATTGTGTCTGTGCAAGACCGATGTGAAGAGCATACTTGATCATAGGCTGACGAGGAATTTTCTAACTAGGTATCGATCTTGACAACCACCACGTGCGCAACACTCACCGTAAGACGCCAAAGAGTGACAATGTCTACCTCAAGTTGTTGGTAAAGCTCTACCGCTTCTTGGCTCGTAAGTCAACCTCAAAAATTCTTGATCAAATTAACACGCGCTAACTATGGATCTCTCTCAGGCCGCACTGAAGCCTCCTTCAATAAGGTTGTTCTCCGCAGACTTTTTATGTCCCGTATCAACAGACCTCCCGTTTCCATCTCCAGAATCGCATCCCAAACCAACAAGGAGGAGAAGAGAACCGTTGTCATCATCGGAACCGTCACTGACGACAACCGTCTTTTGTCCGTCCCAAAGGTCAGCGTTGCCGCTCTCCGCTTCACTGCTACCGCCCGTGCCCGCATTCTTGCTGCCGGTGGTGAGGCCTTGACCTTGGATCAATTGGCTCTCAGATCCCCAACTGGAAGCAACACCGTTCTCCTCAGAGGACCAAAGAACTCCAGAGAGGCTGTCAAGCATTTCGGTTTCGGACCCCACAAGCACAAGGTAATAAATACAACACGGTTTTTACTTAATAAAATTGACACATCTACAACAGAAACCATACGTCGAGTCCAAGGGACGCAAGTTCGAGAAGGCTCGTGGACGCAGAAGGTCCAGAGGTTTCAAGGTCTAAATGGCCTAATTGGGGAAGGGACGTTACGAACTTCTGGCTTTGCTGGTCTGGATACCTCCAAGAAGGGTGGAGGGATGTCAACAAGCTATTTGAGGCGAGCTGGATCCGCAGTACAGTCTTTAGCATATGAATACTACAAGAAAATGATGGTATCGATGCAATTAGGAGTAGTAATCATGAATAATTTGATTCCACCCTAGCTCAATTTTTTATTTGCATATGTGATAATCTATGTGATCACCGAAATATTTTTTCATACAAGTTGAACGTGCTATTATACAATTTATATTCACACTCATTTCTATCTCACACATCATTGACAAAACCTAAACTTGCAGCATCCCTGTACCCATTCCGCCGAAGGGCTACAAAGTATGCCTCCTTTGATTCCTATTGATTGTAAGCATGTGGATTCTCTTCATTGGTTTCAGGCTCACTCACACTCCTCGACGATTCCGGCTTCTCTCTGTGCACCATGGCAAACATTTTCCTCAGCTTCAACTCCAGCTCTTTATCCTCCGCTCCCTGATAGAATTTACACACGAAATGTCCCCCAGGTCTCAGCGTATCGAAGGCAAAGTGTAGGGCCGCGTTGCAGAGATCCTATATGGAGATAGGTAGGTTGTGGTTAGAAAGAATGGTGGGGTTGGTTGGATTGAAATAACAAGAAGAAAAAGAGAAGAATGAAAAAAAAGGAAAGAAAAGAAAGAAGGGAACGAAAAGTAACATACCATACTCCCCGCATGATCGGAAAACTTGATACCGGTCGTGTTCATCATCCTATTATACGGGTCACTCAGACTTCTCTTCCAGAAACCGGTGGTTTGCTCCCAGGGGGCGCACATGTCACTTAGCACTACGTGGACCATTTTCGTGGCGTCTCTTGCGGGTTCGCGGTCTTCTTCTTGTGCTTCTTCTGGCGCGGCTGCGGAGCTCGTAGGATAGGTATTCATATCATCATCCATATGTCGTTCCAAATCAATATAACTCTGTTCTTCCGCCGCGACATCCAGATCGTCGATCTCTTCATCTTCGTCCTTTTCGTCGGAGGATATAATTGGTCTGCGTGGACGACCACGCTCGGGGTCGAGAAGAAAATTCTTGACGGATTGTTGGACGCGGCGAGAGAGGAAGTTTCCTTGGATGGTGGAGACGCCTGCGGGAGGCTGCGCGGGGATGATGTCGATGCCGAGGATGCGGCCGTGGGGTTGTGTGCGCGTGTATGCTACCTGTGGGGGAGGGGGTAAGTGAGGTGGATGGGTGGGTGGGTGGTAGATATATAGATAGATATGTAGATATGTAGATTTGTAGAGGAGGGAGAGAAGGGGAAAGGTAAGGGCAATATAAAACATACCTGAGACCAACTACCCGGCGCATATCCCTAAATACATTCTCTCAACAAACCATCCTGACCTCATCTCGCAATCCCATGCATAGCATCCCAAGCCATAGTCATAACCATAACCATAAACACAAAGAGAGAACTCACTAGATCCACAACCGTTTGTCCCCTCTTAAAAATCTTATACTTTGTATCAATCTGTAATCGAGCATCTCATTAGCATCCATATCCATATCCATATCTATATACTTATCCACATCCAAACCCTTCCACACACCTCCCCTCAGATCCCCTCTCCTCCTCACATCTCCCACTCCCCCTCTAAACCCCCAACCGCCAACCCCCCCCTCCAAAATACACACACACACACACACACACAAACAAACAAACACAAAAACATACCTCCAACAATTTAAACGCCGCTCTACTCCTCAACCCCTTCACCTTTGCCTCCCTCGCCCACGCATCCTTTCCCTGTCTACTTTTCCATCTCGTTGACGAAGACGAAGACGAAGACGAAGCGCTGCGTATCTGCATCTGCGTCTCTATGCGTGCGTTTCTCCCCAGCCCATTGTCACTACCACTACCACTATCAACACCAACACCAATACCATTCCGCAAACCCCCAAATCTACCCCGCGCGATCGTCAACCCCGCTTTATGATTCAGCAGCGCGGGAAGGCCGGTACATGAGTGAGAGCGAGGGAGGAATCCGAGTCCCGAGGTTGAGAATGTGGGGTTTAGTCGAGGGGGTAGCATAGCATAGGGTTGTGTGGTGCAGAGAATTTGTGCGTGGCTGATTTGGGGAGTGGGAGGGAAGTTTGGATGATTCCGGTCTGTATGGTATGATGGGAAAATTTTATCGCAAGAGCTCAAATTTTGGTAATGTGGAATATTCACTTGTGGCCTTGTACAAAACTTTTCCTGTTAGTGTTTATGAGAGCGCAAAGAGATTTTTATCCGTACGAGTAGATTAAAGTATACATTATGATATTACTTGCTCATACAATCAAAAACTCAGATATTGTCACATTTACAAGTAGAAGCTAATTTCATTTCTTGGATACAAATCATGCAGTTGTTCATTACCTACATATACAAAACACCAACGCCTCGTGAGCCTGTAATCTCCCTATCCTAAACGCCCAATTATTTCAGTATTTTCATACAGCTTATGCCAAGAAACTTGCTCCAGCACCCCTACGATCCTTCTTCAAAGGCGAGAATGCTCCAAACCCACCAGCAGCCGCAAGACCACCCTTCAATCCTCCCCTTGGTCCAGCAAGACCACCTTTACCTAGCAACCTCGCTGGTCCAAGTGCAATCTTTGCTGGTTTCTTAGGAGCCTCACCATCCTCGTCATCAAATAGTGTCTTACTGACACCCCCGAGAACTTTACGTTTCTTCTTCTTTAGCTCCGGCTCCTCATTAGCCTTGATCTTAGATTTCACAGGTTTTTTAGTCTCTCGTTCTTCAGAATCTTCTGGTTCTTCGGGCTGCTCATTTTCGTCCACATTCTCTTCTTCCGCAACCTTCTCTAGTAGAGGTCGTGATTTGACTTTTCGGGCTGTAGGTTTCTTGGGTTGTTTATCTTCGTCTCCGTCCTCTTCCTCTGTAACTTTTCCTAGCGTACGTGATTCTTTGAGTTTTTGGGTCACAGATTTTTTATTCTTGATACCAGCCTTCGCTTTGGCCAACACGGTTTTCTCGTCAGCAGAATTATCGGCCAGCTTCTTTCTTGCCTTGAGCTTGGGCTTGACTTGCTGTGCAGGTACTTCAGGGATTTCCTCTTCTTCTTCTTCGGGAATCTGGTCCTCTTCGGTGGGATTCTCTCGCTCCGTTACTCTGTCAGCCTTATCCTCAGGTGATTGTCCATCTTCTGGTGTATCTGGAGCCATGTTGATTGTCTTGTTCAGATAGGGTGTGATGGAAAATGTCGACTTTTCTCCCAAAATTGTTTGGTCAACTCTACCCCTATTCGCACCAGCTCGCTTTCCCCGCGCTGCAATTCCATCTGGTGTCCCAATAGTAATGTCCATGCTCATCTCCCTGGCAGATCTCTTGCGAGAATCTTTTCCTGGAATATTCTCTCGACTCGTGATAGCGGGGAGTTTCAATGCTGCATTGCGCGCCTCATTCAATTCGGCTTGACATTCTTTCAATTGTTCTCTTGCGGCTCGCATTTTTGTGCGGAGCTGCTCAACCTTGCTCTCTAAGGATCCGATCAAAACCTGAGAAGCAGCCAACTCCTTCTGTGTTTCCTTATGAGCCTTTTCAATGTCACGTTTCGTATGAGCAAACTCTTTTCTGAGAACCTCGATTTCCTGATCTCCGTCTTTCTGTCCTTTCTCGGTTCCGCGAAGCTGTTCGATTTCGCCCTCCAAAGTTTCTACCTGAGCTTGAGAAGCGGCCAACTCCTTTTGGGTATTTTTGTGTGATTTTTCGATATCTCGCTTCGTAGTCGCGAACTCCTTCCGAAGAACTTCAATTTCTTTATCCTCAGATTTCTGACCCTTGTTGCTGCTTTTCAACAGTTCGATTTCATCTCGAAGAGCCTCTATCTCCTTCTCTCCAGCCTTTTGTGCATTCTCACCGTTACGCTTTAGAAGCTCCAATTCCTTTCGGAGAGCCTCCGTCTCCTTTTCTGAAAGTTTATGGCTCTTCTCGATTTCACGTTTCTCTTGTGCGAATTCTTTTTGGGCAATGGATGCTTCTTTCGACATTTCTTTCTTGGCCTTTTCTCTTTCTCGCTTCTCCTCGGAAAGATCCTTCTGCAAAGCCTCGATTTTTTGTTGAAGTTCCGTTTCCTTTGAGTGGTCATTATTCTTCTCGGTGGCACGGCTCAAGGCACGACGCTCTGTCTCTAATTCCACCTCTAAAGTGCTAACTTGCCGCTGAAGTGCCAGCTTCTCTGCTAGGATCGATTGTTGATGTGCCACTTGAGAGCGTAAATGCTCTATCTCTGGTTTAAGTATAGATAGCTCGCGGCTGAGTGCCAGTTTTTCGGTAAGGACCTTTGTCGAGTCTATCGTTAATCCACTCATAGATTGCAACTCCGCCTATACAGCCATGAATTAATATGACAATCAGATATACCCGGGAATGCTTAGTACCTTGATGTTATTGAGTTCCCGTGTTTGAAGTCTTAAATCGGTTTCCACCTTCTTAACATCTTCTTGGGCCTGGTCAAGTTGTGCTCTTAAGTCTTCATTCTCTTCTTCTAATCCATCAATTCGATCATCCCCGGTTGCTAGTTGAAGTTGTAATTCATCCGCCTCATTTTCCAACAAGAGAATCTGTAATCTCAATCGCCTACTTGCTTCATCTTTCACGATCAATTCGGTGTCTTTTAGTGCTTCCTGATATGCCAACTCGAGACATTGTGATTTCATCAATCGCTATAAATTTGTATTAGCCCCAAAAACTCCCATCCAACTTCAACACTAATAAAAGATTATATACGTACACTTTCGATATGCTCATCATCATTATATGATAATACTGGATCCATTTTAAATTTATACTTGTGAAGATAAAATGTGTTTTAAAATACCTGTCAAATGATCGAAATGTTCAATCGCGTTCTAAAGTCAACAAAGTCTCCCTAAGCGTTAGATGAGTTGCCGGGTCGACGTGGTTTGCCCCAAAAGTTTGGCCTTAGGCATTAAGAGCTCTAGTACCACACCCTGCTTGTGATACGATTTGTATGGCCCCGCGAGGTGGAACTTACCGAATTGAATTAAGGACACGCTTCGAGCTTCGTAAGTGTTTGGTGATGATGTCTTGATTCCTCAAATGCTTCAGTTTATTTGATAAAGCATCACTGGTCATAATCATTCAATTATCCTCTGCTATCGACGTTACCAACTTCAACCTCTAGAGGCATCTTGGCCTTGCATTTTATTCAAGATGCATTTCCTCAAGACATTGGTAGCCTCCTTGCTACCTTTAGCTGTTCTAGCTGCCAAAAAGCCCGCGGTCGATAACTTCGAACGATACCATACCAAATCTCTCTCATCTACCCCATTGAAGCTTGATGATAGCATCTACAGCAAATTGACCACTGCACCAAGAGATTACTCTGTCGCCGTGCTGTTGACAGCTTTAGAAAATAGATTTGGGTGCCAATTATGTAGAGAATTTCAACCAGAATGGGATCTATTATCAAAGAGTTGGATCAAAGGAGATAAGCAAGGAGAATCTCGTCTGCTCTATGGAACACTTGATTTCATGGATGGCAAAGGCACTTTCCAATCTGTATGTTTAGCGCTACGGAACTACAATCAATCGATACTAATTGCTGGATAGCTTAATCTACAAACGGCCCCCGTCCTTCTACTATTTTTACCAACCATTGGCCCTCATGCCTCTACAATCAATGGCCCCGTGAGATACGACTTTACAAACGGTCCTCAAACTGCTGAACAAGTCCACTCTTGGATTGCTAGGCATCTTACCGATCGACCACATCCTCCAGTTCAACGACCCATCAACTGGCTTCGTATTGGCGCAGTTACCACTACTATTTTAGGAACGATCACTTTTATCAGTGTTGCATGGCCATTTATCTTACCTGTCGTTCAGAACCGAAATGTTTGGGCTGCAATCAGTTTGATTGCCATCCTTCTATTCACCAGTGGTCATATGTTCAACCACATTCGAAAAGTTCCATACGTTGCTGGTGACGGCCGTGGAGGTGTCAGCTACTTTGCAGGTGGATTCTCAAATCAATATGGATTGGAAACCCAAATCATTGCTGCTATGTGTAAGAAATCCTCTTTCATAGCTACTTATATCTACTTGCGACAATACTGACTATATCTCTCAGATGGGCTTTTGTCCTTTGCAACAATCTCTTTGGCTCTCAAAGTCCCTCGTATCTCAGACCCCAAGATTCAGCAAGTTGCAGTTCTCGTATGGAGTGGAGTTATCTTCGTTATGTACAGCTTCTTGCTTAGCGTTTTCCGTATCAAGAATGGCGGATACCCATTCTGGCTCCCACCTTTCAGCTGAACGGTATAATCTACGAGTCTGTTAAGTGACCAAAGAGATATCCATGTATCATATACTGCCGTCCATTTATGTGGTCGGTTTCACATACTTACTGAAAAGCGAATCCTGCATTTACTTGGCCCTAATGCTTGGCTTTAAATAAATTTATCTTATGAATTAAACAAATTCACTTTGCATAGAGCTTTCACAGTATGATAGTCAATACATGACAAAGCGTTTGTTTTCAACTACCAAACGCTGGGTTATAATCATTCGTCATATTTATCAGCAATTTTTTTTAGACTCTGCGCTTGTGACTACTTGAAACGAATGACTTGACAACAATCCCACCAACCTAGCTATTTCACAGGGTATATTGATGTTTAGTGTTATTTTGGTGATTCCTTTTCCCGTCATGAAGAAAGTGTCAATTTCCTATATCCACCATGCTCTCTGTGAGCCATTTTCTGGAGCTGGATGTTGCACGCAGCTCTGCAACTAGTAAACACTATGCATTCGGAACTGGCAGTGAGAAAATTCAGATCGCAAAGTCAAGTCAAGATCAGCAGAAGAAAGGAACTGAATTGTAAGACGTCGAACCATGAAAAGCTCGAAGAGATGTTTCATATAAATCTATTAAAATACATGGAAATTATACACACATGAGAATTGCTACCAATCTATAGTAATGAGAAGAAGCCAAATAATGTTTCAGAAGGGAAATAGTGGTAACGAGGGTTATGAACCGAGCTCTCATCGGAAATTCCAAGTCCCAATGCTGAGGCTCACAGGATGTGTGTATGATCTTTGATGTTGTTGGCGAGAAATCTCTTGTCAAAGGGGGAGGGGGGTGGAAAGACGCCTTCTATTTCTTCTGGAGCGGATAATAGATTGACTAGTCACTAGTATGGAATTTGCAATGCGCAGAGACCTTCATTATTCAGTATGAGCTGGTGTATACTGGCCCCGTGAGATCAACGTAGTCCAATAGTATCACCACTCTACCGAGGATCCTTTCATTTTCAATCACCATCTCAAAGCGAATCTCTTGGAGACCAAGGAAGTAGTTCTCATGTTTTGGACTGTTCTGCATTCCCACAAGCACCAGCATTCCAAGGTAGATTTTCAATCGCAGTCTGCGAGTACTTATGCTTCTGAATTGAATCGCTGGTCGTCGTAAATCTCATTGATAGCTCCTCCGAGTAACTTACTAAAAACCCGCTCTATCTAAGATGGGATACAAGAACGAGCTTGCATCGGCAACTAGAGCTATGCCCGTGTTTCTTTATGCTATAACCATCAAGTATTAATAGACAACATGTAATATGTACTTCCTTAACGAGAACTACACTGTACCCAGCAAAATCTAGTAGCAATCCATCCCATCTGTTAGCAAAATATCTATTGCAGTGCTCCTTGAGACGAGAGTAAATGAAAATAGATGGTTCTACACCAAAGGACTCGAAGACGATAGTTCTAAACTAGAATGCTGAAGCATTGTTGCCTTGATTGCGTTTTTCCCGCCCGTGGCGGCCATAGAAGTATGGGGGTCTGTCTGCAGATGCTATCTCAGGAGTCATGATACCCCTATAGTGAATATCTTGAGTGTTGGAGTTCATTTTTCCTAGGTGATTGAGAGGAAGTATGGTGTCGTTTTGAAAATTGGGACGCAGGGTTACCGTTTAGTTGTCACGACGGTGACTGAAAATCAGGGTTTTGGCGGTGTGGACGAAGCTGTAATGTGATAGATCGGTGTATTTATTTTTATCGTATTAGTTGAAGAGATGTTGTTGAGGTTAGCTAGCTAGCTCCCAGTCGGTTATGTGGAGTAGGAAGGCTTGAGATGTAGTGTTTAATTTCTGGGAGTGGTTGTTCTGGTGATACTAGATCAATGAGAGAATTGGTAGTTTGAGGTCATGAATTGTTTGTATTCGTATGTGGTATACATTTCTCTGCTTTCAGTTATAAAATCAGGAATAAAAATAAAAACTGGCACGGGAAAATGAAGTGTGGTGATCGTCATAGCTGGCGTTGAATATCTCTTGTGAGATGCTGTTAATTTGAATAGTATCATTTCAGTAAGTCTGTAGGAAGGAAGGTGATCGGTATGATAAGGGACTTGAAAGATTGTGATTGAACTATGGAGGAGTAGAATTGTTTGAATTTTGAAAGAGCATATAACCGGAGTGGTGATAATCCTTCCTCGGGGGTTTGCATTGAGGATGGGGATTTCAAAGTTCGCATTTATCAAAGTAACTATATAGGTAAGGGTTCGAGAATGCATGAGTGTGAGTACATAAGTAGAAGAGGTTGGTTTGATTTGATTAGTTGCTACAAAGTTCGGAAGTTACAAATCTATATGAAAGTGTGTAAATAATCCGGTTCATCCTCTAGCAGACGAATATACTGACCGGCCAGCAGTGGATCTATGAATTCTAATATGACCTGCAGATCAATGACAGGTAAAATGCAGCTCTCCCAGCCATATAGATGCTTTTATTAGTCTATTCGGAGGGAGCATTCAAACATTACGCCAACATCTCTTAATCCTGTTCTCACTTCTCCACTGGTTTGTGTCTTACGGCAGCTAAAAGGGGAGGCAGAAGAAATACCACTCCAGGAGCCATAACCACCCCAACAAAGACAATAATAGCCTTGACAAAATAATCCGTACCGAGATCCACCAAAGCTACAGCAATAGGTGGCCCAATGCGAATCCCAATTGCTACTGTAATCCAACCCATACCTAGTTGGGTTCCTATGACACTCATCGATGGCGATAATGTTGGGTGTGCCACCGCTGCAGCGGGTGCTGTCATGAGGACGCCAGATATGAACCCCCAGATCATACAAAACACTATAAAGCCCGCTTCATTGTTTATGCTCAGCCAAGAGAACATTATGACGACAGCAACGACGGTCCAGAAAACAAAGGTTTGGATGGGCCCGACGCGATTGGCAATAAGGAATGGAACCGTTCAACTGAAGAATGAACCGGTGTTGGTAATAGACAAGAGATAGAAGGAGAGCTTTTCATCAATCTTGAGGCTGTGAATAGCCTAGGAAGGGATATAGAAGAGGGGAATGTAGAATGCTACGAAGATGAGAAGAAGAGAAACGGCAAAACCTAGGAATGCAAGTTCAGTGAGAGCTGCAAAATCGAAAAGAGCTTTTTTAGTCGCAGACTCTGGCCTTTAATGCTGGCTTAGCACGGCGAGGGAGATAGAAAGTGTGCCGAGACTGACGAAGCCGATGGCGCGGACAGCCCAGCCAAATCCAACTTTTGGTTCTAGTCTCCGAAACATGATTGGAAAGATTATTCCACCTAGTCAATCTCACTTAGTATCAGTTGTGCCATGCCAGATGAGTGTTAACTAAACTATGCTTGATCCTGAGGAGGCACATCCGATCGCAAACGGACGTTTTGTGGTGAACTGAGTTGAGATGATGGCGAGTGCAGAAATATAAACTTAGCCGGCTCCGAGGCCAATGACAATTCCCTGAGAGAGGATTATTTGGTAATACTTCGTAGCGAGACTAAGCATCATCGTCCCAAACACAATCATGAAGCACCCAGTGGCTATCAAGATACGAACATAACCTCGATCTAATAGTGGCCCGGATACAATGCCAACAAACACCACCAGAAACAATTATATACTACCAATCCATGATATAGATGATGCAGACTCGGGAAAAGTGGTGATATAATAAGACTGAAAAGCTCCAAAGCTTGCAGTGATTCCCCCTTTCTTAAGAGGTCTGCATACATATATATTGTAATGGATTTAAGATTGAGAAATTACTTATACATACTAAGTATTCGTGAATACAAAAAATGCACCAATTACATACAGCTAAGCGACTAGTCCGCCATTTGGCGGCGTGGGTGGAGACTGTGGAGTGACTTCGTGAAGTGGGGCCTGCACATCCGAGGAAGAGTCTGCGGGAAACTGCATCTGTGCGTTCATTCTTCTCCTCGTCACTGCTAGTAGCCATCGTTGGTGACCTTGTGACTATTGATCAATGTTCGAAGACGCAAGTGCTGGACTGTGTTTACAAGATTATACTCTGCTAGCCTTGCTTTCACTTCAAAATAAAATGTAAGTAGATATCGCACTGTTGCAAGAGTAAGATGAGTTCATTATTTACATGGTCTCAATACGGTATGTTGATTGAATAGGGTACGCGTCTAAATCCTCAATCACAAGTCCACTATATTCGAGATTTGGAAGATAGGGATCGAACGGACTAATGAAAATATCAACATTTGTCCACCATACGCACCGGATTACATCAGTATATATATTATGCAAGATAACCTCCAAAGTTTTAACTTCCTCTTGAAAGTCTCACTACGAATCTAAGTACTTACTTGGCAGCAATATTCTTGCCTTGGCTGGAACCCAGTTTACAAAGGACACAGGGTGAACTCAATGCGTGTGAACGAGAGTAAGCTTCCGGATGATGGTTGTGTGCAGGTTTCTAAGATTATTACCGGCCTCCCACACTACCAATGACAGTATTCGGATGCGTTACTCTTGAAAATTGTTACTCACGCGAGTGGTGCTGAAGGCAACATGGGCAGCATGATATTCTGGGAAGTCGGATTCTGGAGGTGTAGGAGATGCACCTACATGAAGAGACATTCTGAGGAACAAAGACCTTCCATGACTAACGGATCATCGAGTAAGCCCACTCCTGCCCTTGACTTCAACTTGAATTGACAAAATATCGCAACTTTGGCCAAGAGATAGTTTTCCCATCCACAGGGTACCTTGCAATGGCTATCGAAGCAACAAAGCAGGCCGGAAAGTCAATGGTGGTTATAAAGAGAAATACCACCCTACGAAATTCAAGATGTCAGTTTGCAAAAAGCACTAGTGATCCCCGCAAAGGACGGAGGGATCTAGATCCTTTTCAAATTGCGAAAGGCAAGCTTGGCTGCCAACAGTGATCACGAGTCAAGGTTGAATATCTTCTTACTTCGGTAGATCATGTGAATGGAGAAGACAACTTTGTCGAACATTGTCGGGGTACTGTTCATGTCAAATTTCAAACCCGATGGTAAGTTTTCCATTTGATTGACTTGATGATTGATCCATTTGAAATTCCAGACTAAGAAAACACTAGTTCTCATGGCGAGTTCATTGTTATAGGAGATGGACAATTCAAGACGAGGTTTAAGGGAAATATTAAGTCTTCCTTGGTATAAGAAATCTGCCTCAGTCGGATTGATTCATGGTCCGACGTTTCAAGATCTTTCTTTCATTGAAAGGGGTGGATCAAAAGAAACTCGCCGAGGCGAAGATCTCGTTGAACCTGACAGCAAAACCCATTGCGGAAGAGTCTCATCGTGTAATTCATCCTGCAGCTTCCGATACAGCAATGCAACTCTCTATTGTAGCTTCACAATCAAGCACCGCTACCAAATTGAAGAACGCGGTTATGCCTGTCAGCATCGGCAGTATCAAACATTGGCCAGAAGTAGATGTGTCCATAGAAGCCCCCGCAGATTGCGTTGCCAGAGGTGTGGAATAATGTGACACTCAAATGTAATATGTGAGTTGAATAAAAATACCTCCGGACGTGACCCTACAAGAATAGATTCGAGAGCAAACCAAGCGTGCCAAGCTAATCAATCTCTAATGTATTGATGGTCATGTGATATCCAGACTCGCACCTCGGTCTCTCGAGTGCCTTTCTAATAAGGCAACAATCAATTTTTAGCAGCTGAATGCCTGATTCTCCCAAAACTTTAATTGAGTTTCCCAGGTTCATCATTTAATCTTGTCTTGCTTGTCTTCTTTGTCGTCTCGTCTCGTCTCGATTCCTTTAAGCTTGCTTCTTCTATTCTATTTCCTTAACCACCAAAATCTACTTAATAATTTATCTTCTTCCTCGACCTCTCCATCTCACTTACAATATCAGGATTGATATTTTCACCTACTTGATCTCATACAAGAAGATATCATAATTGATATCGGCCAACTCTTGAGTAGCAAAGAAAATCTTAATTGATTGGTCTTCCGCGTCATCTTTCTCAATTATCAAAAATGTCTCGTGGTGGTACAACACTCTATGTCACCGTATGCGCTCCACCTCCACAACTTCCACACGCCAACTTATATATTCATATTGAAGCTTCAAAGTGTATACTTACTGACATCTCTCATCTAGGGCTTCGGAGCTGGAATCCGTGCTCGCGATCTTGCCTACGAATTCGAACGGTATGTCAGCTAAAAATCGATATCTCGATGATTGTCCTTGATCGCGATAATCCATTTCCCCATCATCGTCCATCCTCGTCCCTGACTCCGTCGAGACTTCGCTGTCAATCTTGTCGCATACATTATCCCCTCTTCCCAAATCCTCCACGTTCGATCGAGCGGTCGCACAACGATACGAACAGTTTATATTCCCACATTTGTCTCGCGAGAAAAGTTCGAATTGCGGCGGATCGATTACTATTTATCATACAAATCTTATACATCTCTTACTTTCATCCATATATCTATCCAATATATTCCCTATCCGATGATACATTGAGTCTAACGATATCTTCATAGCTATGGCCGTTTGGTCCGCTGTGATATCCCAGCTCCTCGAACTGCAGCATCTCGTCTGTGAGTATGCCCGATCTCTTATTGGTGACCACTCTAATATCGTTGACACCTGAAGTAGGTTTGCCTTCGTTGAGTATGAGTCCCGCCGTGATGCCGATGATGCCTACCATGAAATGCACAACAAGCGTATTGGTCGCGATGACTTGTTGAAGATTGAAGTAAGTCTTCATGACATCACCGGATACGGCGATTTCTAATTCATGAATTAGTGGGCCCGCACACCTCCTTCGGCTTCTTGGCGATTCGATACTGGTGAAGAACGTGCAGCCCGTCGTGATGGAGGTAGAGATAGCGGTAGAGAGCGTGGTGGAGGTAGCCGCCGTTCTCCTCGTCGTCGTTCAACCTCTCCCAGACGTGGCCGTGGCGATTATTCTCCCCGTAAGGATGACCGAGACCGCCGGGACCGGGACTACGACAGAAGAGATCGCGACCGAGCCGATCGCTCACGTAGCCCAGACGATAGGTAAACACTCTTGAAGAAATTTGAGTCAGGCAAAAGCTTACCCGCCATGTATAGGGACCGCGAAGTCAAGGAAGAACGTGATGATGCCCGTGAACCAGGAGCCAATGGAGATGACAGGAAAGGTGAATCCACACCATTCAAACTACCATTTCGACCCAATCTCTAACTCATCTGATAACCATCAGTTACCATGGATTCTCCTCCACCAGCGCATGATGAACTGGACACCGCCGAGTAAACAGGTCCTTCCTAGGTTGAGGCTTCTACGCGGCAGGAAAAAGTTTATTGTGTCTTTTGGCTGCTGATATTTCCTTCTTTGCCTGAATTTACCATTGTGTTTCTAGATTCGATTCCACGAGACCTTCACGACTCGAGCCAGGATTTGGACTGGCAACATTATCTTACCTTCCTCTTAGGTCAGCAGCAGCATACAAATGTGGTCATAAGTTTTCATGGGTAGTTAGTAGTATTAAAAATTCCAAATTGAGCACATAATTAACACTATTTTGTTTCATTTGTTTGCGAAAGAAAGTGGCATGTATGATCTCACTTAATAACGGTAAATGTGTTTTCTTGCACAACAATAATTCGTCTAGTTGAAGAATTCTATTCTATAATCCATCTATCCATTCATTTATCCACCATCCACTTCGTGTCAAGAAAAGACTATCTTTCCCAACCAAAAATGATGTTTCCTTCAAACAAATATACATATCACAATAACATGACATGGCTGAACGACATGATATGATATAACTCCCAAAGATGCCTGGATCCTATCCCATCCCAACCGTTCCAGTCCATTCCATTGCGTAACGGAATGTAATGTAATGTAGCAATGTATACATACACTACTATATATGTTTGTGACTGACCTGATTCCTTCTCGAGTATCTCTCCTTTCTTCCCTCCCTCTTCTAGCTCTCGGAATTTTTTTCTTGCACTTGCTCTCCTATCCTCTCTTCCTTTGTCCTTAATCCATGTTGATGTTTTCTCGAGTGTGTTTGTTTTTCGAATTTCCAGTCTGCGAATTTCCCCCTCGGGGCTTTCTGAGAATCTGTCTGTCTGTCTGTCTGTCTGTCCGCGCGACTAATAGGAGTTTGAGAAGAGAGATGAGGAAGAATCTTGAGTGCTGGGTTTGAGGGTTGTGTGGGTAGATGGTTAGATGTTCAAGTTGGTTTCTGTTGGATTGTATCGTCTTGTATTGTTCTCCATTGCAATTCAATTCGATGAGATGCGATATATTCAAACGGAATCTTTTTCTCCATTTCCTTCTTTCTCCCTTCATTCCGTACGTAGTAGGCGGATTATTTATTTTCATTTATCTTCATTTCTTTTCGTTTCACATCTTCATTTCTTCACATTTTCCTCTTACTCTTATACGTAGCACTACTCTCCCTATTTCTCTCCCTCTCCCTCGGATTATCCCTAGGACTATTTAAGCTATTTCGGCGAGCCACGCTTCGATGACGCGAAAGAAGTTGTCCGATGAGGAAATGCGATACGTCTTCATCGGCCCTGTTTAAGTAAATTAATCAGTTTTCTGTTGGCGCTTTTTGCGTTATGTATTTAGAGAGATGAGGAGATGGGAAGATGGAAAACATACCAGTATGAGAGATGGCTGGCGATAGTGTTGATTGGGTTGAAATCTAGTACGCTCCTGTTGCAATACACATTCGTTAGCAAGTGTTTTCGTTTTCCTCCGCAAAACAAAAAGTGTTTACGAGAAATAGGAATGTTAAAACGGGATAGAACATACTCTTGAATACTAAAATCCACGCGTCCATTGTTATTCAACGCTCTCACTTTCGCCTCTTCTCTCTTCAACTTCCTCGCTTTCTCTTCCAATTCCGCTCTATCCGTTTCAGGCATATCATGCTTCCTGCGCTTTTGAAACCCAGCATACAACGTCTCAATCTCATCATCAATCAACGTAGGCGCCGTTCCCATACCATCTCTATCCGCGGCCGCCGTATCCTCTGCAAGTTGTCTCATTTTCTCGCTGGTATTTTCTCTCTGTAGCGAAGGATGGTCTGGGACGATTCCTGCTGCGATATTGGTTCCCGCGCCCGCGGATTGACCTTTGATGCTTGATGAATTCGATGCTTGCATTCTTTCGACATCTTCGCCTGTGAGACCGAGACTGCGATTGAGAAGACTACTTGCAATGCCGGAACTGAGACTAGACCATAATCCACTAACACTTTGTCCTACTTTTGCTCCGATGCCAGTGATTCCTTGGTTCATGTTTGCACCGAATATACCCTTCTTGGTATAAGGTAGTAATTGAGGTTTCATAGATGACATTGCAGGAGCAATCAGAGGCTCAAGCCTATAACTGATTGGATCTGTTGGGTGGAATATATTGTATAACCGAACGCATTTCGGACTAGAAATTGAGTATGGCAATCCTGTAGTACTGGAAATATGTTCTCCAGATGGAAAGCCTGCACCCGAGCTAGCTGCAAGAAATGGATCTTGCATAGAGTCTATATCCATTGGACTCTCGGATGGTAATGATTCTACGCGATTTCTAGCAGCAATAGTTCTTCCTTTCAACATCTGAAACAATCCTATTGGACTTCCCAGACAATAGAAATCCTCCACATCAAATTCAAATTCAGGACTCTTGTTATGTGACGATGTCGATGGGGCCGACCGATTCTTGTAATGCGAAGAGTTTGTATGACGTTTCTTAGTTTCTCTCTGACGACAAAGAATATCGAATAGGATTGCCGATCCTAAAGAATGTCCTATCAAACTGACTTTCCCAGAAAACTCTGGATTTCGTTCCCGGAAAAGATTATAGATTCGATTTGCTTCGGTAAGAACAATATTGCTAATATGTTCTCTGTAAGCACTCTGGTACAGCAAGATATCAAGAGCAAGGTCAGTGATGAGAGAGCGAACAAATGGCACACCCTCCACAGTGATATCATCAAGGCTTGGATATTCTTCCTCCTCGCCAAATGCGTCACCAAGATCATGCTCCTTACGATTTTGCCTGACACCTTTACGAGGGAAGTCAAGTAAATGACGCCAGCAGATAGGAAGGACTTGAACACGACAATTTTTAGGGAGTTTATCAATCTCCGCATTTAGAGCTTGCAAATCGGCAGAATTTTCGTACACATTTTTGAGAGTTTGCCGAAGAACGTTTACGTCATGGACAAAGTTAACACTTTCGGTTCTGTTGAAAATTAGCATATTATCTGAAAATTGCTCAGCCAAACAACAAAAGACTTGTACGGATTTGAACGTGGGACAAATAGGATTGATATGTAACTTTTTCAAATGATCTGATCTGTCCAAATCATGAACTGTCTTCCGAAGCTTACTTCCGTACAGGATCAACTGTAAAATCTAACAACTGTTTCTTATAGACCAATGTAGACAGAAATCGAACTCTACAGGCAGTATACAAAACAGCTCTAAGATTGGATACTGCAACAGCGAGTGACCATGGAAAACTCCAATCCGATGACCGAAAAACAAGATGAAAAATAGTAAATAAATTGAATACATACCTCATACCTAAGCGTTGACCAATTCCATGCGTCACTAGAATTAAATGCTCAATATCACGCCCTTGGTTCTCACCATCTCGATCATTATAATCATTCTGCATCTCCTTCTCATCACGTTTCCTCACAGCTTCAGCTTCAGCATCCGCATCTATAGAGTTTAGCTTATTGTACGCTGCTTCTCGAAGCTCAGTACTATTATCTTCTGGCGAAGCATTGGAGTTACTTGTGCTAGGAGGTGCAGATCGCCGTTTGAGTAATTTTTGTTGGCGATCGTCAAGCTGGAGATACTCTGGAGTAGTTGAAGCGGCAGCAGCGGCGCTAGTAGGAGTTTTGGGTGTCTTGTCTTTGTCGGCAGAGGTGTCCTTCGTTTTACCTGGTTCCGAGTATCCACGAACAACTTTTATACCTCCCAAGTAACCACCGCCTGCAAACTTTTGATACACGGTGCTACTAACTCGAGACATGATATTATCGGTTGAAATCCAGGCTACATTCTCATCTTGATAGGTAACAACAGAATTCATGTATGTGCCAAATAAGCGATGAGTCTGAGGTTGGTGGGGTGGTGGCGAGTCCTTCGATATACTACTATCATCAGAAGCTAGCTGTGGTGATTTCAAATTCTCTGCCGAGCCTTTTGGAGTCACAGAGGGAGAGCCATTACGTCTACTCCCGAAAGCACCACTGCGGGCCAATGATCTGGGTTCTTCCCCTGGTTTTATAGATAATGGCCTAGCAGTACTTTTCTCCGGAGGTTTAGGATAACGAAATGGTTTTACTTTCAGATATCCTTCCTCAAGTTGCGTGGCCAAATTCTCCTCACAGGGTTTGAGAACTGCACCCTCTTGGTAAAACCAACTACCTCTGCGAACATCAAATATCGCACCAAGCCAATATACCGGCGCGAGTTCTCTCTTTTCAATATCGACATCGAATAGGAAATCCTCATGTACTGGGACCTTTATACTTCTGTCAGCCTCCTCATTATTCCCAGCTTCATTGATACTCGTGTTGCCTTTCTCGCCTGCACTTCCCGAGGATTGTTCCAAATTACCACTCTGGGCTCTCGATCGCGGATCTCTTCCATTATCATAGTCCTCGACAAGCTTTTGATAGGCAGCTTCTATTGCGCGAGAATCGTGTTCGGAAAATGTGACGAATTTCTTGGGAGGGGCTGCAGGTTTGGTTTCTTCTTGATTGGCCTTGAGAATCTTGGGTTTTCTTTTGGGGATCTATACTTTGTAAGCTTGGGAATTCAATATTCTAGATATGAATACTTACATCAACAGCATGATACCATCTAGGATTCAGCGGAGGACAATCTTGAGGGTAATTCTTAGTGCTCCATCCATGCCAATGGTTCGTACTGTGATCCCCGCCATGTTGGTTCTTTAATCCTGAAGCTTCCCCAGAGAAGGTGGGTGTTGTTGCTTTAGGAGTAGTTGCTCGCGAACCTCCCCATGGTGAGATTGATTCAACGGCTGCAGACAAATATGATCTCTCTAACGGTTTTGGCTTGTTCCCAGGCGCAGACTCCATTTTCTTGTCATTGGTTCGCCGAAGGGCGTCAATTACGCCTGTAGATTTAATCCAGTTGAGCGCAGAATATGATATTCGAAGTTGATGGTTTTTAGGAAGGTGTTTGGGTATTATTCTACCTTGGTGAAAGAGAATGTTCATGTAGTAAGCCAATACTCGTTTCAATTATTTGAAACGCTGATATGGTAGGTACTCTGTATTATGCGGTAATTGCCGATCCGAATATATTAAATAGAAATGGGTTATTTGTACATTATGTATGATCGCTCGGACCTTGAGTAGTTATAGATTTCTATGTTATGAACTGTCCTTTCAATGTCCCGTGGGTTAATTTATTATTGTTGATATCGCATTGTTATCGCTAGTAGTGAAGCGATACACGAAATAGCATAATAGTAAGTGAAGATTGGGGATAAGAATACAAATTTGACGTTATGACGATACTTTTCGGCTTGTCCCGTCAATGTGTTCAGGCTTTATTTGAACTTCATACCCCACTACCACTACTTGATTTACGAGTAATAACATCGACCAGTTGACGAGATGAGATGTAGATGAGCGATGATGAAATATTGGCTTCTCAATACACCGATTTTCCTCAATGTCATGTATAACCGAAGCACAGTAAGTCGATCACAAAGGTAAATCTCAGATTGCCCAGCGAGAGGGGCAAAAACCTACTAAGCGGAAGAGAAGAAGCTAGCCCTGCTTATAACGCTGCAAGCTTCACTCTCTACCACTTTGTCCTCTAACCCCACCCCTTTACTTTGATCTTGGCCCATATTAAACACAGTAGGGCAGCCACATAGCTAAGTCCGGTGAAAAGAGCGGCGCCCTAATACCTTTCTTTCCCTGTAGCCTCTACTTCATCAAGAAGGCCCCTAGCGATAGGGATGCTTCCCAAGACACCAAAAGCTACTACCGTAAAGCAGCTTGCGTATTATCGTCCATATTCTTGAGTTTCGCAGAGCTGGCCTAAACAGATTGGTGTCAAGCTGACATTGCAACCACTGACAAACCCAAATAGTAGTAATCTTACAAAGATTATTAAGAGGGCGTCATCACTCAGGTTGAGTAGGAGTATGTCTGGTAACCAAAAACATGGAACTGATATCGTGCAGAGGAACAATGAGACAATCATAGTATTGTATCGTCCAAATCGATCGGCCAGGTCGCCCGCTATGCACCGGCCAATGCATGAAGCGGCGTTAAGAATCGCAAGAAGTCGATATGTAAACGCCGCTGATCCAGTCAAGGCCTCTCCTTGAGACAGATATCGTCGATCGATGTAATCGCTTGGTATATATGTGATGGGTATGAAATATGCCAGATTTGCCAAATTATAGATCAACGTCTTGAAGTTAGTATGCCTAATCTACATACTTTCAAGAGCACTGGACAATCCCAAAAGCTGTAGGCACATTGTGTCACAACCCCTGGAAAAATCCAAGAAACGGGATATTTGCGCTCAAAAATCGACACTCACAGGACTCCAGCAGTGGTAATAGCCATAGCTCCTGTTCCATCCATGAAGATCTGTGGGTCTGGTAATGTGTCTCGCTAAGTAGTTGCAGCTCCTTTACGTGGTGGATCTCTACTTCGGCAAAATGTCACGTTCACAGCGCAAAGCACGAGCAGCACAAACCCGAGAATCCGAATCGACCTTCCCCACCCAACTTGAGGGAGGAGTGACTGTATCATAAGGGGAAATAGAAAGCCACCTCCTACAAAAGCTATATCGCTAGCGAGACCGCGACGCTCCATGAACCAATGAGCAACGCAGCCCATTGACGGGGTGAGGAGAAGAGATGAGCCGATACCGGTCAATATGGAGAAGGATAGAATGATCTGATGATATTCTGTATTACAGTCAGTGCTGCACAGAGCTGCTGAGATGACCGGAAAGATCTCATCAGGGGCAGATAAGCGAGTGTGCGACCTTCGAGCAGTCACCATACTAGAATGTGTAATGCGTGGAGCGGCACAGGAAATCCAATATTACCTATACAAAAGCCAAACGCGAAGATTCCAAAAAGCGTGCAAATGGTTCCTGCAACGAGCAGTCCACGAGGGCCCATGTCATCAAACGTTGGTCCAATTTGCACCCCACGGATCCAATTCACAAAGGCATAGATTGAGTATATGCAGCCGAGCGTAGAGGACGATTCTTCTAGTAATATAAATTCCGAGATGACGAACTCGAATACTCCAGCTGTATTATAAATACCCAACGATGCGGTCAAGCCACACAATGCACCTAGAACCACTGACCAGGCATCGCGACCACCTTCGGGATAAGTAATTTCGCTATCAATTGGCACTGAGTTGACCGCCGTAGGAAGAGAAGCCACAGGCCTTTCAATATCATGAGAAGAACCTGTTTCTTCGGCGAATGTCGTCTTTTGTCATCTGGGATTTGCGGACCAGTAGCCTGTGATAAGCCATGCTCAGAGCTTGATGCCATTATCCATCTCCAGTGCTTCGCTTCGAAAATTTTAATGTGCTGAATGATAAACACCTCCAAGTAAGATGATACGATTCTTGCCGTAGATCTCTGGTTAACCAACACGTTGCGCCAAGCGAGAAGTGTAAAATCAAACATCATTTAAACTGCTCAGAAGAAGCGTTTGTGGGGGGGTATTAATATTGAGGGTGGGCCTGCCGAAAAGGAAGTGAGATATGCTGAGGATGTTCTGGACTTCGATTTTGATCTCGAGAAGGAACACTCACTGAGTGATAGCGTTTACGGCTGAGATATCGAGGAGCATTCCCCCTTACATTCTAATTTCTAAGCACTCAATATCGACTAGGTACCACAATACTAATAAAAGTTCTAATATTATATCATATATATTACATACATTGCCATCATAATCATAACCACAAATCACAATCATCATCCAATGCTCACTCCGAAACCCTTTCTCCAAACCATCTATGATATCAAAGACGCAAGAGCCCCAAACACCTACCCATGCCTCTCATGCCAAACGCCAAATCCCCATAATATACAAAAGCTTAAGCATCGAACCATCTAAATAACCAAATAAAGACTACACAAAAGACTTGGTCCGGTAAAAATCCCTATCCAAAAAAGTACATTCCCCAACGCCTTTCTCCCCTTCATCCACTTCGTCTGACTCATAATCGTCAAGGGAATCTGACACATCTGCAACACCAGTAGATATCCCCTCAATTTCTTAAAGATACACCACATAACGAGCTCATGAACACAAGCGCTGAGGAAAAAAGTAATAAGCGTCGCCATCTTTTTGTCAACTCTTAGACTCGAAATCGAGGAATGGTAAACGTGGCGCAGGAGGAAATTATGAACCGGTCGATTCCAATCGCGTGCGAATTGATCCCAAGATACTGAATTCCACCAGGCTTCGTAAAAGCCTCGATCGGCGTAGCAGGTTAATTCGGCGAGGAGATTGAGAATACATTCCCAAATCACATACCATGTCAAGATATATTCAGCCAGAAATGGGAAGGCTAAGTCGCTGACTATACCCGGAAAATGATGGAGGCGCTCGAGAGATGTTAGATTTGATTCTTTCATCTTGATCGTTTTAACCACAATAGGATAAATATAAGTTTGCGAAATAAGGTTCATGACGATTAAGAGACCAACCGTCGCGATACTTTTCTCAGCTACATTATACCAATCGATGTCATCGGATCGTGGATATTCGAGCTCATAAACCAAAGTTGGAAGAACGATGTACTCGTAATGATTGACTAAACTGAGATTCTTGGGGTACTGATTCTTGGTTGTCGTACATTTCCCTTCGAGTTCTTTCCCCAAGAAGTCGATCTCCCATTTCAGAATTCGTGCGAACGTCTGGACTTGATCAACGTCAAGAGGCTCACCAGAATCAATAGCAGCGGCTACTTGGTCAGTAGCAGAGTCGACAATAGAACGCCTTCGATCGGATACTCTCTGATAGATGTCATCGGACGTAGGTCCAGCTTCAAGATAAGAAGTAGACAATGCAGAAGCGGCTGGTGTTGTGGCGGAAGGTGTCTGTATCGGCGAAATATCATCAAGCTGCTTCAATTTACGTTGAAGCTTAGAACGAGCCTTATACTGCTCTGATAGGTGACCATTGTAAAAAGCGTAAGAGTGTTGTTTCATCAACATGACAATCCCATGAAGGACAAAGAAGACCTATCCGAAGGGATGTTGTAAGCGAATGAATCAGGGGAAAGACCACAGAACACCATTTTTTTCGAAGTAGTGCTTGGATTAATTCTGGAACATAATTGGATTCAATTCGAAATTAGTCACTTACTGTATGTGTCCATGGCCACTCACGAAACAGTGTCCAACTTATCACCATTGAGAGATAAATTATTTCCCAAGCCTATCCAGAATTACATTTAGTAAACTATTCCTAACTTTCATATCAATCGATAATAGACTCACACTCTGAATGATCCACCCTTCTCTATTCCAGTCAATGTATCCCCGGTATATTGACTCCTGTAAAACAAGTCCGAACCCCGTAGAGAAACACATAACACCATCAGACAGACCAAGAACTATGAGGTCTCGGTGGAACATCATTTTCATAATTTCATTAGTCCCAAGTATATTTCCATGCACTCGCCAATTCGCAAAGGCAAGTTGGAGTACGAAAACAACGAACGCCAGCCAGCCCAACGTGAAGAAACCATGGAAAGGTGAGTCGGCAATGATATTGTTGTGTCGATCGAAGGCAGTGAACTTCTTAGTAAAAACCACTGTTTGAGTCAATTAGCAACGAGTTATTGCGGAAAATTATATATGTACGACATCCATTCAACACCACTCGATGACCTTTCGTTCATTTTAAGATATTCAGAGTTTGAAAGAACTCACAGTCACTGAATTTTGTCCGTTTCTTTGATTCTCCTGACGCGACATCTTGTGCATAGTGCGCAACGGTGCCTTTTAGAAGATCCCGTAGCTCATTGTCATCCGCTTTAAAAGTATAAATTCCTTGCCCATTTTTCTGAAGCTTGTTGAGAGTGACCGGGATACTTTTGCGCCTTTTCGTGCCTTGCCATGATTGTTGGGACTGAACTTTTAGTTCTGCATAAACCGTCTGTGGTATTTCCGGCAAATCAATATCGGTGTCGAGGATTCCACCCTCCCCCCTTGTAACCATGGACGTCGGATCTGGTTCTAAAGTATCATAATCCTCCAAACTATCACTCTCCGAGGACTCTCGCCACTTTCTATCAACTGTTTCCAACGCCATTTGCAGAGATTGCGAATCTTTACGGCGGCTGGGAGAATTGGGTGTTTGTATTGGTTTGGAGTTGCCAACTCCATTTTTCCTCGAATGTTCATCTGATGAATGCTGAGTTGGGTGTGCTGGATCTGAGGGAAAGGACATCGTCATGGGAGGGGGGGCAGTCGTGGATGCCATTCTAACCATCTTGTCAAGCTATATTGAGAGAAAGCTTGTTCCAGGACGAGAGAGGGTGATTGGGATTTATATTCGGAGATCTTGTTTGAGTCAAGAGGCGCAAGAGAGAGGACTAACTAGTAGAGTGTTAGCCAAGAACTTCTTGCGAACTTCCTGCGAACTTTCTATGGTGCGGTATTAAACCCACTCGGTGTCCCAGAATAAGAGAAATAATGAGAGCGAACCTGTAGCAAGGCTGTTCCCAAATGATTGCTTATTAGCCGTACCTCAATGACTAGTCTCAATCATGCTTTAACCTCAATGATTTGTTAGTAACCTAGACGCAGGTAATACTGCAGAAGGCGTATACTTTGACGATTCAAAGTATTCCGAGGTATTGCTATTTGGTGCTCAAGTAAATCAATCCAAATGGCTCAGACTGCTGTGTTGCCGAGGAAGGAAATATATTGAGGCTGAATAGGTAAATGCCGGTGCTGTGCAGGATGCAGGATGCAGGTACAAAGATTGCAAGATTGATAGAAAATCAATGGAACAAAATACTGTGACTGTCAAAAGAGGATAAAAAAAAGCTTTATAGTATCTGTACCTGTGAAACAATAGCTTGGTACTAGTTAGATACCGACGAGATCACATTTCAGGAAAAAGCACGATAGAGATGGAAGAGCCGGAAAGGTAAAGGAAAAAACGGAAGTAGCATGTATCTCGCGCGCACATTGTCATTTCCTTAAGTCTCCGAATGGTATGACTGATGATTAAGTTTTAACCTTCTTACCTGAGACCTCTTCACTGTGAGTCTGTAGTGTACTTACTGCAGAGAATTGAGGGGCACGATGAAGCTTGGCATATGGCATATGGCACATGGAGTACATCGTACATCGCACATCGCACGTCGTATATCGTATATCGTATATCTTATATCGTCCATCGCATATCGCATATCGCACAAAGAAAGGCCGATGAACTTTGTGAGATTCTTGAGATGATAATTGTCATAACTCTCAGTTAGTTCTCTTCGTCTCCTTTCCTTTCATGGTGAACTTGAGTCATAGGTATCATTGGAAAGGCACTTTCGTCCATACGCGGAAAGGGATCCGATCGGCCACTTGTCAAGTGATGAGTGACGTTCAATTAGGGATCAGAGTGATGAAAGAAAGAAGAAAGGTTTCGAATAATTTATTAGGAATCTTCGGAACTGTAAACTGTAATTTAAAGGCCAGGCCCAGCTGCATCATGTGGAGTACCTAGTAATAATAAGTCTAAAATGACAATCTAGGCATCTGACGGCACCTTTACCCAGTACTTGGGAGTGTTCGTTATTGGAACCCATCGTAAACTCTCGTAAACTCCCGTAAACTCCCGTAAACTCTCGTAATTTCACGGCTTATTAATGCGAAAAACTTGATAAAAATGACGTAAATTCACGGAGTTTTGGGGTGCCGTCGTCCGCGTCATGTCCCGTGCCCCCAGCGTGCCATTTACCCCTTCAGCCCTGTCTAGATCTCCTAGAATCTGATAAGAGCCATCTACCTACCTAGGTGCCGGTATGGACGCATTGTCACGAATACATATCACAACTACCGGCAGCAGCGGAACACAATTTCCATTCATTTCATGCATACTTAGAATATCCACGGCAAGTCCCAATCTACTGAACTTGCAGAATACAAATCCATCGCTTTTCCCCTTTCATATTTACATCATAATCCCTATCAGACGGATCACGGCAAGTTTGCAGACAACAAATCAGTGAGAAGAACATTGCCAGTATTTCTTGCCACATCGCTTGCCAATTGTCCTTGAGCATCCCGAAGATTCCGGATATCTTCTCCATCAGCAGTATCACGTCCTATACCCATCGTCTCTGCCATTTGAGTGATTTGTTCCGGAAAGATATTGGTTGGAAGAGTTGAAGCGAGCCATAACAGCAGCCAGATGATTTCTTCCTGTCCTTTTTCAACTGCCACATGCAAACCACTTTTCATCTCATCCAAAGGATCTTGATAACGCAGAATGGGCTTTGCCGATAGTCCTTCTCCATCCTCGTCATCATCTACTGCACTGAGTAGATCATTAATTCCAAAAACATCACCCTCGGCACACATCGTCATGAACGCTCGAGCGGGGCGTGCTTCTGGGTGTTCATCGAGATAGGCTTCTTCAGTGATAAGAGGCAAGATGTCAAGATCTTCTTGAACGCCTCCCTCATTGTGATATCTCGTAGGAACTCGGATTCCAGAGACTGATCTTGAAGCTGAAGCCACTGAAGTTGCAATCGAACTATCACATGAAGGACAATGGAGCTTATTCAAAATTTGAGGAGATTCATCCAAAAGACATTGCCTACGTGAGAGTTAGTAAGTCAACTGATAAAGTCGGTAGATCAATGGCAAATTTCACATGCTCGAATGATGAAGCATAGAACGGCACGTGAAAAACAAGAGGTATCTTTGTGAGGTCAAAGGCGAATCCGTTGGCCAAAGACCATCATGACCAACGCTAGAGAGCGGTGTCCCTTGAGAAATGCTTTCTTTTGTATGCTTTGGACGATTATGGTATGAATACATCCGATTAGAGATGTACAATATACCCCTCGAAGAACTACCTTTAAGCTAACTTCCACGCAAAGAATATATTCCACATGTATATCTGGTTCAAATGCTTCAAGTCTCAGGCATTATGAAAGGAAATAGAAATAAACTTGGAACTTTCAGAACGAGAACAACCAAAACATATTCTTACCAATGCATATGGCATCCGCAAATCAACTGAAGGTCATCTGGAACGCTTCCCATAGAAGAGCTTCCACCTTCAAATTGCTCCAACTCCTCTGGGTCGAGTTGGACGGTCAAACTTTCCGAGCAGAGTTTGCAAGTATCCATGTTTGTGTAAAGTAAAGAAAAGTAACTGATTTAATATTGATTTATACGTTGAAAAGTTGCTATGCGGGTTGTGTTTCGAAATAAAAATTCTCATGTAAAATCGTTGAAGGTCTTTACTTTAATAGCGGGGAGCAAAAAAAAGTCATAATCTAAAAATTTCTTATCGTCTGAACGTTTCTCTTCAATCTTGTAGTCTCCTTCTAAACACTCGGAACACCACGCAAAGTCATGTCATGAGCGGGCATTCAAATCTAATTATTTAAGAAGACCAGTCCTATTCTTCGCCATTCGAATGAGACCGAACATGCATAGAGTTTGTATCTCATGCCAGGCTCCAACAAGATGGCGGTATTGATGATTTATCCCTGTCTATCTCTATCTATGCTCTACCATTCGCATCCGCTACCACTTCCGCTGGCTAGCCATCTGCTTACCCTCTTTACTTGGTTTGTATGTATTTTGTATGTGACGCCGTCGCTACCATAGGTCCTGGCTGGCCATCGACTAGCTTACTGATTCTAATCGTGGTAAAAGCAAGTGATCTTCCAACTTTCGACGCCGTGGCCTCAATATGCAAGACATCCCCCAACTGAGCAGTCCCAATATAAGTGACGTGAATATCAATGCTTGCCCCAGACTTCTCCAATCCATGTGAAGCAATCGCAAGACCTCCAGACCAGTCGACCAAACTTGCACTCACTGCCCCGTGAATGGTACCTCGAGAATTGACATGATTGTTTTCCACCGTCAAGCGCGAGATAACCAGACCTTTGGTAGCCGATATGATTTCAACATGTGCGAGAAGGAAGTCGTAGATGGGACTGTTGCCTTTCATATTATCCCATACTTTCTTGACGTGGATCAATTCTTCCGTTGGGTTATCCATGGCGACGGTACTCATTGTCAATATTCAGTTGCCTGGACTGCGGCGAAGGGGTAGTCGTCAGCAATGGCGAAAATGTACGTATACGCGTGTAACAAAGTCTTGGGATTTCGCATGCTGTCAATAAATACTCTTATTCGGACAAAGGATATAGTAGACCTATAATTACCTGTTTAAGCCCAAGGCTATCCAAATGGAAATGTGCAGGAATTGCTCAGGAATATCAAGGAAATCGAAAGAACCCTGAGAGAGATGGAACTGGTGAACAGACAGACCGGTTGGTTGTACGAGTGCGAGACAAACCGCTGCCCAGAAACGTCAGCGGGGTTTAGGCTGTGCATCGCATCATCTCAATTTCACATTGTGATATGCATTGAGCCATAATTTGAACTCAAAACTCCTCCATAAACCTTTGAAATAATCCAGAATCTGGCTTCCTCTTCCTCTTCTTCCTCCATAATCCAATTCCGACCAAGAAACAATTATTGGTTTGGTACAATTCACAATTGTTACGTGTTTTGCAACATCTTGCGCCGGCTTCAGTATTTATAGTGACATAAACTAGGAGGGGTATCCACAGCTACCTAATACCGATAGGTATCTCAACCTGCCTCCTGAATTACGGACCCAACAATTCAAGTCTTTTGGACTGCGAAAGTCAAGACCAGAATAACAATCCGCAAAGATGAATATCATTAAGTTGCAGAGGTATGTGAACAGTCCAAGAGACCGATTGATTGGCTCGAGGCTGCGTTTGTCTAACCTGGCTTCATTTATAGGAAGTATCCTCAATTCCAACAAGATGAGATCTTCGGTCTCCAAGATGCTTTCCGTAAACTCGACGTTGACGATAAGGGATACATTGACGAGGCCACGGCTATTAAAGCTACACAAGGCAGTGAAAGACAACCATACGATGTTGTTAGACAAGCTTTGAAAGAGGTCGAGCTTGATTCATCTCGAAGAGTCGAGCTGGAAGATTATGTAGGAGTAAGTTTAGGCAAACACTTATCTGGCACATTGAAGAATGTCGACTAATCAAATCCAAGCTTATCTCAAAACTCCGCGTTTCTTCACCAGCACAGCAGCGCATGTCAACTGGTCCACAGAGTCCTGCTCGTGGAGGAATTGTATCGCAACAAACCGGAGGAGCTGGAAGCGGGCATGCTTCAAAGGCAAGCGTCAGCGGTCGTATTCAAGTCCAAGGATCTTCTTCGAACGTTACCCATACCATCAACGAAGATGAGCGAACAGAATTTACCCGTCATATCAACGCAGTGTTGGCAGGCGACGCAGATATTGGCTCGCGTCTACCATTTCCTACAGATACCTTTGAGATGTTCGACGAGTGCAAGGATGGTCTCGTATTAGCTAAATTGATCAACGACAGTGTACCGGATACTATTGATGAGCGTGTGCTGAATCGTCCCGGAAGGAAGATCAAGACCCTTAACGCATTCCATATGACCGAGAACAACAACATCGTTATTGAATCTGCGAAGGGTATTGGTTGCTCGGTGGTCAATATTGGTAGTGGAGACATTATCGAAGTTCGGGAACATTTGATTTTGGGTCTGATTTGGCAGGTCATCAGAAGAGGTCTGTTGAACAAGATTGATATCAAGCTTCATCCTGAGTTATACAGACTCTTGGAAGACGACGAGACACTGGAACAATTTTTGAGATTGCCCCCTGAGCAAATCTTACTCAGATGGGTCAATTATCATTTGAAGGCCGCAAATTGGCCACGAAGGTAAGATCAATCTCAAGAGTATCTAGAGCTTACTAACATTCTATTAGAGTTGCGAACTTTTCCAGCGATGTAAAGGATGCTGAAAATTACACTGTTCTTCTTTCTCAGATTGCGCCGGAGTGTTGCGACCGAGCACCATTACAAACACGCGATCTTCATCAGAGAGCAGAGCAAGTTTTACAGAACGCCGATAAATTAGACTGCCGAAAGTTCCTTACACCTAGCTCCCTGGTGGCAGGAAACCCTAAGTTGAACTTGGCTTTCGTTGCCAATCTCTTCAATACCCGTCCAGCACTGGATCCTATCACAGAGGAAGAAAAAGCCCAGGTTGATGATTTCGATGCTGAGGGCGAGAGAGAAGCGAGAGTCTTCACTCTCTGGTTGAACAGTCTTGATGTGCAACCAGGTGTAAACTCGCTATACGAAGATCTCAAAGATGGTACTATTATTTTGCAGGCATACGACAAAGTTATCAAGGGCTCTGTTAACTGGCGTCATGTGAACAAAGTGCCTGCTGGTGGAGAGATGTCGAGATTTAAGGCTCTAGAAAACACAAACTACGCTATCGAACTAGGGAAGCAAAACCGTTTCTCCTTGGTCGGCGTGCAAGGAGCAGATATTTACGATGGTCAACGAACTCTCACTCTTGGTCTCGTCTGGCAATTGATGCGCAGAGATATTTCCGAAACCCTCACAGCCCTCGCTCAACGTCTTGGCAAGCGCGAAATTTCAGATGCAGAAATGATCAAGTGGGCAAACAACATGTCACAGAAGGGTGGAAAGAGTTCTACTATCCGCTCTTTCAAGGATCAATCAATTGGAACTGGTGTCTTCCTTCTCGATGTTTTGAACGGGATGAAGAGCAGTTACGTTGATTACGATCTCGTAACACCAGGAAGAACCGAGGATGATGCTTACATGAACGCTAAGTTGAGTATCAGTATTGCGAGAAAGATGGGTGCAACAATTTGGTTGGTTCCGGAGGATATTTGTCAAGTTAGAAGTCGCTTGGTGGTCACCTTCATTGGTATGTTTGTTTTTTTGTGTTTCTTCCTTCCTTTCTTTCTTTCATCCATTCCCCTGTGAAACGATCTTGCGAAAATGAGAGCTCTAACACTTCCTTCCTTCTAGGTTCTTTGATGGCAACAGCAGAGAAGATGCAGTAAATTAGTTGATGTGGTGGGATGGGATAAGATGGAATGGAATGGGATGGAAAGGGAAAGCGGATTTCCAAATCGGTGGATGGATGGATGGATGGTGAGAAATTACGATAGCCATGCTAGTTGATGATATTTAGTAAAAAGTGTGTACAGGCGAATCAATGACTGTAGGACAATAGAAAAGCATTGGTAGTTATTTTCATCTCATGCGAGAGCACGAGAAAGAAAAGGGTGGATTCTTGATGATTTGATTTGATTTGATTTGATTTGATGATGAGACAGCGCGTTTTTCATGAAAACAAACTACTATAGCTACATTATACTAAATGCTATATTGCACTGCACTCATTTACTCACTTTATGAAAGCGATAGGTAGGTAAATATACTTGTTTTGATAACTATTAGATACTATTGTAAACAAAACCTGCTAGAATTCTCCCTCCCCTCCCCATCGCCCTGCCCATCAAAAGAAAGAATCAAGCCTGCAAAGCCATCTCCTCCCTACTCGCAAAACTGCCCCCCTTCCACGACGCCTTCGGATCGCTCCTCTGATCCACCTCCCTCTCTTCACCCGCTTTTCCCCACCCGCCACCTCCAGGTGTGTGAATAATAATGCGCTCTCCCGCTTTCATGGCCGCGGTATTTTTACCCCCGAGATTGATGCGGCGTTCTTCGTACTGTGTTTCTTGGGTTTCTTTTTCCTTAGTTTCAGACTCCGGCTCCCGCAACAATAAATCCGATCTCCCCCTATCACTCCTCGCCACCTTCCGCACCCAGATATTCAACCCGCATTGTGCGTCTGCGCCCCCCTCAAGCCCATACGGTCTGTAGACTCTTCTCTCACTCAAAATAGATACCTGAACCGGGATTCTAAATTCGATATCGCGGATGACTCCATCTCCACCCCTATATTTTCCCTCTCCTCCACTTCCAGCGCGGAGAGAAAATTCTTTCAACAAAACCGGATAGCGGCGTTCGAAGACTTCCGCGTCTGTGATGCGCGTATTCGTCATGTGCGTATGCACACCACTTGTTCCATCCCAGTGTTTTCCGGCACCGCTTCCACCGGCGATAGTTTCGTAGTATCCGAAACCCTTGACGTGTTTTTGGCCGTCGACGTTGCCGCCGAAGCCGAAGGTGAGATTATTGCAGTCGCCTTGGGAGGCGGCGCAGGCGCGAAAGGCGCGGAGAATGACGTCTGTGACGCGTTGAGAGGTGAGGACGTTGCCGCCTACAACGGCGGCTTTGTCTGAGGGGGAGAGGAAGGATTTGGGTGGGATGAGGACGGTGATTGGTTTGAGACAGCCTTGGTTGAGGGGGATGTCTTCACTGATGAGACTGCGGAGGCAGTAGATGATTGCGCTGTAGGTTACGGCTTGGGGGGCGTTGGTGTTTGCTTGAGGTTTGTTAGTTGGTGGGGAGGTAGATGGAGATTTGGTAAAGCACTTACCGTATACTTCTGGACCTGTTCCCTCGAAATCGAATACCGCTTCTCCTTTTTCTGCATCAATTGTGATTTTCAATTGGATCGGGCTACCGTCATCCATGTAGTCGATTGCAGATAGATCTTGTCCTTCGAATCGCTTGCTAACATCTTTCAGGAGATTTCTCACACTAAGCTCGGCGTTATTCTGAATATTAACCATATAAAAGTTTACCACTTCCTCGCCATATTCCTCAATCAAAGTACTGATAAGATTGATGCCCTTCATGTTACTAGAAATTTGAGCTTTGAGATCTGAGATATTATCTGCCAAACATCGTGTTCCACTGCATCCTTGATACTGTGCAGGTTCGTGAAGGAGAAGCTGTGTCATTCTTTCCTCATTAAAGTGACCTGCACTAACTAGTTTCTCAGACTTGATTGCGGCTCCTTCTTGGTATAATTCTCTTGAGTGTGGAGGCATACTACCGGGAAGAATACCACCAATATCAGCATGATGGGCTCTAGAAGCGACGTAGAAAAGAATTTTATCACCGGCCGGGTCAAAAGCAGGGGTGATGACAGTAATATCAGGAAGATGTGTTCCTCCATATTCAGGATGATTGGAAACTATAACGTCTCCTTTGACAAGCTTGCCTTTCCAAATCTCAGCTTGACGTTTGACGCAGGTAGACATTGAGCCCAGATGGACTGGAAGATGTGGAGCATTAGCTACTAATCCACCAGTAGAGTCGAACAATGCGCATGAATAGTCGAGCCTCTCCTTGACGTTTGTGCTGACACTGGTTTTTTGAAGTGCTCTACCCATCTGTTCTGCAATGGCCATGAACCTATGAGCAAAGATACTAAGCATGATAGGGTCTACTGATTCTGTTTCATCTTTGGCCGAGGATCTGAGAATTATTAGCAAACATGTCCTATTACCACATAATATTGCTGCAAAACTTACTTGTCTTTGCTTTCATGTTCACCAATGTTTATCACTACGTGCGTTTCGATTATCAATGCGCTTGCACCGGGAGTAATGACAACAGTCTGTGTTCCATCTGCAAGAATTGCTGGTCCCTTGATTCGGTCACCAGTATCAAGATCTTCCAGCTTGTAAATGGGGGTATCTTGTCGGCCACCCTCAAAGTATACTTGAGACCTCTTGTACTCTTTTTTGCCAGTTTCAACATCCTTAGGGTTGATCTCCTTCAATTGTTGATCCACCGTCTTTTCAAGCCCCTCAAAGCTCTTTCCAATACCACGAACTCGAACATCGTCTACAATGATATCTCGATCGGGTAAAGTAAAACCGAACTCTTGTTGATGCTGTTTGATGAAAGCTTTTCCGTAAGCCCATTCATCACCACCAAATTCCTCTACATCTTGCTTCTCAGGTTTGACAACCATCAATGCAGATTCAGTACCACGGTATCTCATATTTAGATATTGCTCGTGAACTATAGAACTATCTTGGAAGCCTTGTGATTTTAGGGCATTGGTCGACTTTTGTTCGAGCTCCTCGATTTTCTTCTTCAAGTAATCTCGTGACTCTCCATCATCAGACCATATCTTTGATTCTGGTTCTTGTTCCTCGTCGACTACATCAGCTAAAGCCATACCATACGCTGACAGGACCGATGAATAGCGATGAACAAGTATCTGACGTATACCCAAGCTCTCAGCAATGGCAACTGCATGTTGTCCACCAGCACCTCCAAACGTAGCGAGGCGGTGCTTGGATGTATCAAAACCCTTCGCTTCGGTTAAAGATCGGATGGGACGGGTCATGGTTTCGTTCGCGACAGTCAAGAATCCGTAAGCGACTTCATCAGCAGTCATATTTTTACCCATCTCCTTGTTGACTTGTTCGGCCAGTTCTTGAAGAAGCTTCTCACTTGCTGTAATATCGAGACCCTCATCTTCATTCTTTCCGAAAATCTTTGGAAAGAAATCGGGAATGAGTCGACCTAAGAAAAGATTCGCATCGGTAACCGCAGCTGGTCCTCCCTTTCGATAACATGCAGGTCCAGGATGTGCACCAGCTGATTCTGGTCCAACCACGAACAAACCATTTTTAAAGAATAAACGCGAACCACCACCTGCAGCTACAGTATTGATATCGAGTTGAGGAGACTGAATAGTCACACCGGCTGTAGTAGTCTCAAAGACATGTTCATATCTTCCTGAGCCATATCGAGAGACATCGGTAGAGGTACCACCCATATCAAACCCAATTACAGGTATCTTAGTCTGAGGGTCATATGAAGTAAGTGCATATCCTACAACTCCTCCAGCGGGGCCCGAGAGAATTGCTTTAAGGCCCGAGAAGTTGTCCACATCTACCAGACCTCCATCACTCTGCATAAACTCGCACCGAGCTCCTTTTGCTCCCTTTGCATTCTTCACGCTTTCCGCCCCGAGGCCACCTTCAAACCCTTTGGAAAATCCGGCGATATACTTTTTGATCGCGGGTGTTAAATATGCATCAGCACATGCCGATGTGGCTCTCGGGACCAATTTGATCATAGGCATCAGTTCATGACTGAGAGATACATGCTCAAATCCAATCTCTTTCGCAATTTTACCAACCAAGGCTTCGTGGTCAGGGAATGTATAACCATGCATCAAACAAACTGCTATACTTCTAATTCCTTTATCGAAAACTTCCTGTAATTGTGACCGGATGGTTTGTTCTTCAGGACGCTGCAATATGCGTACAGCTTCGGAAGATAAACCCCGCACCAGATCTTGGTCTTGTGTACCACTGGCTTCAACTTTGGTGATACTTCGCTCCGGATCTTCAGCGTAATCTTCCAACGTAACCCGTTCGTCAATCTCCACCACAAATTCGTACAAGACGTCAGGTTTTTTGATCGCGAGATCAAAAATCTTAGGTCTTGATTGATTGCCAATTTCCAGACAATCTTTGAATCCCTTCGTCACCACCATAGCAATTTTTTCGCCCTTTCTTTCCAGTAATGCGTTCGTAGCTACGGTGGTTCCCATTCGAATGGATTCTATTTGTGAAGTATCTAAAGGTTCTCCACGAGGAATATCTTTATTGAGGAATTTGGACATCAGCCGCCTGATACCTTCCAGGGGGGCATCGTCGTAGTTGGAAGGGTCTTCAGATAGGAGTTTGATAATCACATCATCCTCCATCTTCCCCGTGCCTGGATTTCCCACACAGTCGGTGAAGGTTCCACCACGCTGTGCTCATTGTTAGCATAGTGCTGTGGAATTGCCAAAACCACGAAATTGCTTTACATCTCCTTGGATGTTCAAAGGCTAGACCATAATGCCCGGAATATGCCATAGGATCAATATAATGCAGTCTACCTTCTACAAGTGTCACAGACTAACGAAAGCTATGATAGAGATTTGTTCCACGTACATCTATGGCAATTCTAATTCCGCCTTGCGTTTGCTTGTGTTCACCCATCTTAACTAAGTGTGTTGAAAGACTGTGAGGGATGTGTGAGATCGAACGATGAAGTGGCAAAACGTAATGTATCACGAAAGTCAAAGCTGGCTGTCAAATGATGCTAAAAGGGTATCAAAATATAAGATATGTTTCTTCACAAGAGGTTGTATCACTCTGCTCGGTACCATGAATCATATATATCAAAATCCGAAGCGGCGTTTGTACTCCGCGGTGGGAGACGGTGTTGAGATTCCGATGATGGATCAAACAATAATGACATTAGTAAACAAATTCTTATCTCTTATCGTGAGTGAGGGGCTGAGTGAGGGGCATGATGGGCTTCACAAATTACAACACTTTGGAATACATCGCAGTAATCTACGAGCAACTGTTTTGCTATCTGTTTCTCGTTGGACTCAAGCATATAGTAGTTTTTGGATTGTCATTAATGGGAGAAGTGGAGTATGCTTGTGAAGTACGTCAATCATGCTGTTCCTCCAAGCTTTCCTCCTCCTCTTTCCAA